GGAATAAAGGACACAGAACGTGCTTGACTGTTGTGTTGTGAACACTCTCCTTTCTTGCTTGCACTGTTGCTGGCATCCTCTCACCTGAACACTTGTCCACGACCGCGACCATCACGACCGCGACCATCTCCACGACTGCCAGGAGCGGAACGTCGAGCGGAAGAAGAAAGAGCGCGAGGAGAACCGGCAGCGCTCCATTGCCGGCCAGCGCGCAAAGGCAATCAGAGGTGCAGCCAACATATGTATGGGACGTGGTGATAACGTTTGGGGGCGGGGGAGGGGGTGATGCTGGTGGTGGTGGAAGCGCCCACTTGCACACACACACACACATACACACACACACACACACACACACACACACACACACACTTGCCGCTGCTTCGTTCTCACAAATGCCTTCTTCCACTGCCTCGTCCACTCTGTACCAACAGAGGGCCGCATTCCCGCTGACGGGGCGAAGAAGGAGGAGGAAGAGGATGTGGAACTGTGGTCAGAGGACGACGACAACGCATACTACAAGCAGGAGGTTGGCGAGGAGGTCCCAGAAGGTGAGATGCTTGGTGCTGAACAATCATGGGTGCTGCTGCTCACAGGAGGAAGAGAGAGACACAGAGAGAGACAGAGAGAGACACAGAGAGACAGAGAGAGAGAGATAGAGAGAGAGAGAGAGAGAGAGACAGAGAGAGAGAGAGACAGAGAGAGAGAGAGACAGAGAGAGAGAGAGAGAGAGAGAGAGAGAGAGAGAGAGACAGAGAGAGAGAGACAGAGAGAGAGAGAGACAGAGAGAGACACACAGAGAGAGACACAGAGAGACACAGAGAGAGACACAGAGAGACAGAGAGAGAGAGACAGAGAGAGACACAGAGAGATAGAGCTGTTGACGTCGCTTCACTCGTGCTTTCCTCTCACGCAGAGTCTCACACAGTGATTCACTCACAGTCACAAGCACGCACACGCGCAAACACAACTGCCCACGAACTTGCTCATTTCAAACGCTTACATGCACACCAACACTGAACCATGCACACATGCACCAACACACATGCACCAACACACATACAAACACACACACACAAACACACACATGCAATCATGATTGCACTCTCAGGGATGAACCTGAATCGGTCGCGGCCCAAGAAGAAGCACGGCAGCAGCAGTGAGCGCGGGTACCTGCCCAAGTGGCGGCAGAAGAAGGAACAGCAGCAGCACGGGAAGAGGGGCGATGGCGACAGCGCGAAGCGGAGGAGTGACGACCCTTCACGCACAACTGATATCAACGCGGCGCAGACGCAGCGGAAGCAGCAGCAGCAACAGCAGCAGCAGCAGCTGGCGATGAAGCGGGCCAAGTCATCGTCCCGTGGGCGCAAGGGCAGCAGCAACCAGGCCAGGAAGAGCGCAGCCGCCAACGCAGCGCGCGCAAAGGCCATGACAGCAGCCGCTGGTGGCGGTGGCGGTGGAAAGAAGGGCGGCAGTGGCGGGAAGAAGAAGCCCGTGCCCGCGTTTGCACGCAAGCGCTCCAAGCGGTCGTGAGTGCACACGTGCACATGTGTGGTGATTGGTATGGCGTGTGCTTGTGTGTGTTTGTGTGTGGTTGAGTTTGCGCGTGTGTGTGTGACGGAAAGGGTGACACTAAAAAGCCTTCTCATTGATTCTGAAACAGGAAGACGAACAGGCAACACGTGACATGAGGACATGATGATGTAAACGCAGACACACACACACACACACACACACACACAAAGCACACAAAGCACAAAGCACACACAACAGCTGGCGTGGCTCGACGATTCATGGATGATTTCAACCTAATTTCTGCACTACGAAGGACCACGGCAAACGACATCGCCGACGCGCACTCCCTCTCGTACCCTTACCACCACCATTGCTTGTTGTCCCCTCACTGCTTGGCACCGACCCCAAAGCACAAGGCACCCCGTGCAAAAACAAAACAAACCCCTTCCGACTCCAACCAACCAGCAACAGCGCAACGCCATTCGCGTTCCGCGCCATCGCCAACGTTGGGTTTCTGTTCAACATCGCACACAGCAACACACCCACCCTCTAGCTTGCTGCTCGCTGCCCATTTCCTTCCCCCCCCCTCTCCTTCCTGTGCCTCCTGCGCCTTCCCTGGTCTCAGCTTTATGCGTCAAAGAGGCTAGCGTGCTCACTCGCTTGCGGCAAACGACAAACACCACCGACCCAAGCGTTTCGACGACCACGAGACACAAAGGGCTGAATCAGTGGCTGTGCTCTCCTTTCACACACGCAGATTGGTGGCTTGAAACACTGGGCACCCTGCAGCACGAGCTGCAGTGTCGCTGCACCACTTGCACCGCAAAACGACCACCAGCACCCACCGCTCAGCGCCTGCGACTATGGCGGTGAGAGTCGGTTCTGTCACCCCGCCAGCGCACAAGCACGCCAGGCAACACCACCAGCAAACCTCCCAGACCAACCACCGCTTCCACAACCACCAACACAGCAAAAGAAGAAGAAGACGACAGCAGTCGCCTTGGCGAGCCACGGCGAGCGTGGCGTTTGCAGTTGTCCTGCTGCTTGTATGCCAGTCCTGCTGCGTCACGGGCGGCCTGCGCCTCGTCATGCTGAGCCCGGATGATGAGGACGGCGGCGGCGCGGCGGACAAACGAGGCATCATCAACGACAGCACCAACGTGAACCCAAACGATGCACGGGAGCAGGCATGCGACTTGCAGTGCCGCAATGGCGGCAAATGCGTTGTCGACGCATCCACCGTCGGCGGTGGAACAAGAATAGAGCCGAAACAGACGTGTCAATGCCTCGAGGGCTACCACGGCAGCCGCTGTGAACTCTTCAATGTGTTGCAGGAGGATTTTCACGTCGGCCCGCAAGGCTATCTCAACGGCTTGTATCAGGAGTGCGTGAGTGGCTGGTCTGTCAGCATCATCCGCAGCATGGGCGGATTTTCCTTGCCCACCATCGGCGCAACCGGTCGCGCCTCTTCCTACAGGCCAGACGCCACATTCCTCCAAGGTTCAGGATTGTGCGCGCGCTCGTGTGTGTTTTGTGTGTGTGTGTGTGTATGTGTGTGTGTGTGTGTGTCTGTCGTGTGTGTCAGTGTTCGTGTGTGTCAGTGTCAGTGTCTGTGTGTTTTGTGTGTGTTGAAATGATACTGTTCGGTCGTTTCAGCACCTGTTGTTGGTCTCTGATGCACGTATCAACCACCTCACCTCACCCATACCCTTGCATGCGCGGTGTTTGCAGTGTCTGGCGTGTATGAAGCCGCCTGGGTGTCGCCCCATTTGGACATGACTTACTTGCACGGTGAGCTCGCTGTGTTGATGTACAAGCAAGATAACACAACTGTTGTGTGTACGCGTATGTGTGTGCGTGTGTGCATGAAGAGAAGAGGCTGTTGCGCATCACATTGGTTTCCTCGCTGCAAGCGTGTTCACCCCTGTGCGTTTTGTGATTTGTGTGCTGTCAACATCCAGATGCGAAGGTGTCTGTGGACGTGGAGGCCAATTCGTTCTTCATCACGCACCGCAGCCGCGTCGCCATCAAGTACGCGAGCGATGTGCTTCCAAGCTCCGCGCCGCTCGACGCATGGCTTACAGCGCAGACTTCCGTCAGCTCCCAGCCAACAGGTGTGTGTATGTGTGTGTGAGCGAGAGAGAGAGAGAGAGAGAGTGTGTGTGTGTGTGTGACTGTGAGTGTTTGCGTGCGTGTGTGTGTGTGACTGTGAGGGTTTGCGTGTTCGTGTACATGTGCATGGTCACGGTGGTGTATTTTCAGAGTTCACGCGTTCTTATCAACCACACACACACACACGTTTGCCGCCACCACCACCAGCGGACGGGCTGTTTCGCGTGGACGCCACAATCCCTGCGACAGCAACGCACGTGGCGGTGGTGATTTCGCTCCAGGACCAGGCCTCGTTCATGCGTGTGCGCACAGTCACTGTCTCGGGGGAGAGGAAGGATAGCATGGTCTGGCTCGAAACGTTCGAAGGGCTGGAAGGCGTCGGTGTGTCCGGTGAGTCATCTCCAAACACGTGCACGAATGTGTGTGTGTGTGTGTGTGTATGTGTGTGTATGTGTGTGCGTGTGCATATGCGCTTCTCCCTATTTGGCTTTGTCCAACTGTGGGTTTCTCCCTGTGTCACCACCAACTCACGTACACATCATGCACGCGCACATGCACACAATCAACGCACTTGCACTGCACAGGCACCACGTACATGTTTCCGCCGTCCTGGTACAACGGACCACATCTCCGCTGGTTCATCGCTCCAGAATCAAAACCATACACGGCGCTCCCCCTCTCCTACATGCTCGTGCGTCAAACACACGCGCGCAGCACAAACGCAGACGTCACTGCACAGATACCACTGGCCATGGAGACGGCTGCCCTGCCGGTGGGTTGCATACCGCTGCCATGTCATCGACTGTGTCTGGTACATGGTGGTGTAGCATGCAATGATGTGCACACGTCTTAGAGAGAGAGAGAGAGAGTGTGTGTGTGTGTGTGGGTGCACATATCACAAACACGACCACACATACTCACTAACTTGCTCACATTTCTCATGTATCACATCCACTTGCTGACACACGCACACACACACACATACACACATATGCATCATACATACACACATACACATACACACATACACACATACACACATACATACGCACACATCCCATCTTCCCTCGCTGTTGTCCATGATGTTCAGACTGCAATGTCGTGGACGACGGACAAAATTGACATTTCCGCGTATTCGTCTGCGCGCGTGTCGCTTTGGGCGGAATCGGATCGTTTCTCCATTGAAGCAACAGACTTCATCTCTGTTGCTGTCTGGTGCGTGCGTGTGTGCATGTATGCATGCATCTGTGTGCGTGCGTGTCCACATATGTGTGCATGCATGTTTTCAGCTTCCCTCATTCTCTCATGTTTTTGGAAAGGGTTGGAACTTCACCACGTCGCTCATGTCTCACGCGTTCCCTCACCTCACACCCTGTAACACGTGATCATCACACCTTCGTCATGCTGCCATCACGATGTCATCATTGCCCATCATGACAGGACGCCCGAATCGAATCAGTGGCAGCCGATTGCGCACATCACAGGCACAAACTCCGACTACAACGAATACTCCTGCCTCAACTACTGCAAGGGCACGTGCCTCTGCAATCGTTTGACGAGTAAGTTACAGCTGCCTCCAGCAGCAGCAGCAGCAGCAGCAGCAGCAGCAGCAGCAGACCCCGCTCTGTTCTTTGTTGGACTGGCGCTGTGCTTTCCTCCTGCCTTGCCCTGCTTTTGCACTGCCCATCACACGTATCTTTCACACATCACACACTCACACATCACATCACATCACACACATCACATCACATCACATACACACACACCACACATCATGCTGCGTGTTCAGTCACTTCCCCGCCCATCTCCGGGTCATCGCTGCGGATTCAAGTGATTGTCAGCGCGGGAGATATCGACGACGTCATTCGGTGAGCGCGCGCTTCTTTTTGAGTGGGTGCATTGCTCTCTGTCAGCACACGTCCACACCTCACACGTCCACACCTCACAACTCCACCTGCCCCATTGCCTCCACGCTTCCCTGTTGGCCATCAGCTTTGGGCAGGTCATGGTGTCTGCCGTGCCAGCCGACCATCCACGCCCGCCGCCACAATCAACATCGTCATCATCATCACCAGCATCATCTTCATCACCAGCATCGTCATCATCGTCGTCATCATCATCATCATCATCATCAGCGTCCCAGCAGTCAACAGTGTCCACAACATCAACATCGCCAGCGGCCGCGTCTTCGCCGACTGATGGAGGCAAGCACCCATCAACGACCGTCACGTCCACGAACGCCAACAAGCAGAGCAGCAGCAGTGCCAGTGTCATTATCTCTTCCACTGCCACCCAAGTCATGGGTTCAACGACGACAACGCCACACGCGATCGTGCATTCATCTTCGTCGTTGGCATCAACAACGCCCACCGCCGGGCCATCACCAACCACTGCAGCAACGATGAAGGTCACAGCAACGACTGCAACAGCCGCCACAACCATGACACCACCAACCATACCCACAACGACGACAGCGACAACGACCACGCCAGTTGACGCAGCCTTCACACCAGTTGTGGTCGTGTTCCCTGGTGGTCGGGCCATGCTGGAAGCAGCAACGGGCGCACACATCGCCAACACCGCGTTTGTGGACCCAACTAGCGAGGATGCTGGCAGTGGTGGCGAGCCGCGTCATGGTGGCGCGCTCGCCATGTTTGCCGCGGCGGTTGAAGTGCACCTGGAAGCGGCTGGATTTTCCATCCCAAGTGATTTGCACGTGCACCGCGTTGATGGCGACGAGGCGCTCACCACCACCATCTGGTGCAGCGCTAACAGCAGCAGTGCCAGTCATGGCGGTGGCAGCAGCAGCAGTTTCAGCAGCAGTACCAATGGTAATGTCAGTGGCGATTCCAGCAGGCCAGTTGCGGAGCGCGTGCAAGCGCTGCGCGACAAGGGACAGCTGCGTGTTGTCGTTTACGGCATGGATTTCGTTGGCGAGGCACCACCACCATCACCGCCACCACCCCTGTCCACGAAATCAGCGTCTGTTGCCTCGTCAGGCTCCACCACCACCACAGGGGTCCCCACGACAGGGACACACATGCCGCATACTACCACCGCCCACACCAGCACCGACACAGCGCCAGCAGCATCCACCGTCTCGACAACCACGCATCGACATGCCACAAACGGGGGCGGCGGCGGTTCACAGCCAACTGGCAGCGGCAGCAGCAGCACGAGCAGTCACCCTCCACCTGGCGTTGGTGATACTCACACCACCGCCACTCAAGTCTCCTCACACCCATCAAGAGACACGACTCCAAGCAGCGGTGAGTCGCATGGTGCGTGCGTGCGTGTGTGTGTGTGTGTGTGGGTGGGTGTGTATGAATTTCGTGTATTACAGTCACATGTGCGTGTTCGTGTGTCATGACATGCTGGCATGTTTCGTCGTTGCTTTCCAATTGCCAGCGTGTGCTCATGCTGCGCAACCTTCCTCTTCGCCTTTTTGTTGTTGATGACAGGACTACCGCCCGGTGTCATTGCCGCCGCTGCTATGGTTGTGATCTTTGTGCTTGGTCTTGCTGGCCTCTTCATGTACGACAAGTTCCTCAAGCGGTACGTTCGTGCGGCTATCTGCGAACGTGTGTGTGTGTGTGTGGGTGTGTGTGTGTGGGTGGGGGTTTCTGTGTAGATGAGTGTATTTGCGTGTGCGCGTGTGTGTGCGTGTGCGAGTACGTGAGCATATTTACCGCACTTGCTTCTCCACACACACACACACACACACACACACACACACACTCGCTCATTCGCTCACTCACTCACCTCTGTCCTCACCACTGACCAACGTCGCCACCATGGTATGAATTTGGTTTGCACAGGGCGCGTATGCGCATGGTGGTGCACTTGATCGACGACCAACACAACAACGTGTTCATTGGCGACAACAACAACAACAACAATGACAACAACGACGACAACGGTGCTGCTGGACTGCCTGCAATTCCTGAAGAGGAAGTGCGAGCGTTTGACCATCCCGATTTCGATGAAGACATTGATGGTGGTGACGACGATGACTATGTCCATGATCACCATTATCACCATGAGGTTGATGCTGCTGACGATGATGTTGTTGTTGACGCTGGCGTCGGTGATAGTGCGAAGGCCAGCGATGGCGGTGCTGCTGACAATGGTGCCCGTGGCAGCGATGGGCGCAACAAAGCGCAACACGTAGTGGTGCCCGTGAGCACCAGTGAGCTGTCGTTGCACACGTCGCACGACGATGACGATGATGAGGACGATGAGGGCGCGCGTGGTAGTGATCATGGTAGATGTGCCAGTGACCACGCCAAAGGTGCATGCGTGGACTTTACCGGTGTGTACGATGAGGTCGAATACACGTATCCAAGCGATGCCCATACCTCTCGCGTGCGCCGCTACACCCACGACACGACAACAGCAACACCTACACCAACACCTACACCAACTGCAGCAACAGGACACCCGCGCAGCGTCCGCTCGCTTCGTACCGGCGCTGGCGCCAACTCGAGCCATGCGTGATGCAATCACAAACTCTGGAGTGCTTTCATGGGTAGCCAGTGCTGTTGCACGAACCTCACGGTATCACAGGCCTTGTCCTGTTCCCTCCTTCGCCTGTAAATCCTCACACACATTCATACACAGGCCTCATGCTTAGAGTTTGTCCATACGCCTTTCCTTCCCCTTGCCTTGTTTGGCCTCGTGTATTTCTTGATAGCTGCACGATGTCAGCACTTTTTAATTGCACCACTGTTGCGCTTGTTATTGGGACAATGTTCGCCATTTCATGGTTTGTTCTTTTTTGTTTTCTTGTTTGCTTGTGTCATGGCACGTTGTTCTTTCCGTGCTGTATGACGTGCATCGTGCTGTTGTCTTTCTTCTTGATACGTGTTCTATTCGCTCTTACATGCACGCATGCGTCGTTGCCCGCGCCCTTCTTGACTTTGTCGCATTAATACGTTGCTTTCTTCCCAGCTACAGTCTGCTTATGCAGATGCTTGCAGTCTTGTTTTCGCTGATCAGTGCGATGTGTGACTGGCATGTGTCCTTCCACGTCACCGATGCCGATTTTCACTGGCATTCATCGCTCTGGAACGAATCGAATGCAGTGAACTGTAGCTTACTTGCTCCTGCCCTGTTCACACAAGCCATGCCTTGCGCCGCGGTGTTGTTAGCGTTGTCCTTGGCCACGTCTCCTTCTCTCTCTCGTGTCATGCGCTCTGAGCGACTGCTGTTATCCCCGTTCCCGTGCTCGCTTCGATTGAACAATTGACTTGGATGCCTCGTGTTCATGTGTGTGTGTGTGTGTGTGTGTGTGTGTGTGTGTGTGTGTGTGTGTGTGTGTGTGAACGTGTGTGTGAACGTGTGTGCGAACGTGTGTGCGAACGTGTGTGTGTGTGTGTGTCTGTCACGCCATCATGTCTCGCACCGTTCCACACACAGACACACAGACACACACACAGACACACACACAGACACACACACAGACACACACACAGACACACACACAGACACACACACAGACACACACACACACACACACACACACACACACACACACACACACAAATCGGGAATGTTTGTTTATTGTCTGAGAGCGGGCTTTCTGGGACAGGCAAGGTGGACAAGAATTGGAGGGGGTAAGGGAGAAGCAAACAACATGAACAAACAAGGTGAACAAACGACATCAATGGCGGAAGAAACCAGGCAATCACAAGCGGCAAAATGACCAGCACACATCCCGGCAAACAACAATGGAAGCATCCAATGCATGCGTGGATCAAGCGAGCCAGCTGTAACCAATCTCAATGGGGGAATGAATGAAGCGTAACACGACGGACCGACGCGGAAGCGAGCAAAACTCGAAGCGATATGACGTGAACAAGACAAAGACGGACAAGAGCCAACCAAGCCGAAGAACAGCAAGGCAGAGCACCAGGTTGAAACAGTGGCACCGCCCAAAGAAACATGACAGCGCCACAGTCACCGCATGACAGCGCCACAGTGACCGCATGATTGCTGACACGACGAACTTGAACAACTAGCCGAGGAAAGGAAGCACGGATAACAACTGGGAAGAAGCAGGTGGCAGGAAAAGCCTGCACATTGAAAAAAGGGATGGGGTTATGGACACGAGAACAGAAAGAACAGGAACAATGCGTTCGGTCACAGCAAATATATTTTACAGGAGCAAACGAGCCACAGGCGGCAGAACAGCGCACACGTGTGCACAAAACACACACACACACACACGCACACACACACACACAGCAGCAAGTGCATGGGCGACAAGGCACCAGATCACAGCGTGCCAAGCAGCACCGTGCTTGTCTACACGACAGTGCCGTGGTGGGTGTTGTTGTCCCCAAGCGCAACGCCCGAGGCACGACGAAGGACAACGAGACGACCAGAGCGGCTGCGAGCGGCGAGAACGGGCCGTGCTGTCCCTCTCCCACGCTCGCCACTGCGCTGATGCCCGTCTGTCCCCGCCACAGCGCTGGCGTTGTGTCCGCTGTCCTGGTGAGATGGCGGTGGATGGTTGAGTGTCGCTGCTGTTGATTGATGACGAGATTGCAGCGCGGCATCAAAGCTCTCCCGCGTCACACCGGGCGTGCGCACATGTTGCTGTTGTTGCTGTTGTTGCTGCTGCTGTTGGTGCTGTTGGCGAGGGGGCGTGGTGTTGAGAATGTACGGCTGGTGCGGGTGATTGTCACCATTCGCGTCGCCACTGTGGTCTGTGGATTGTCCGAATCGCTCCATATACGCCGGAGGACGGTGGCTCAACACAACACCGGCCTCTTGCTGCTGCTGCTGTTGCTGCTGCTGCTGCTGTTGTTGCTGCTGTTGGAGGAGGAGGTTCTGCTGTTCAACGCCTGGACTGGAGTTTGACGATGAGCGACACGTGTGCAGTTCACCGCTGGCCACGGCGCCATCGAGATACGGGTCGTGCCGGGCGTTCTTGTTCAAGTGCGGCGGCATGGCAGCGGAGGTGGGTGCTGCCTGCATTGCATCCTGCTGGGCATTGGGACGCAGTGGGCTGCTGCTGTACTGCTCACCACCAAACTGCTGCTGGTGTTGGCGTCGTCGCTGCTGCGGGCGGCCGCGTGGCCCATATGCAATCATGGTGTCGGGTGAGAACGGCAGCTGCGCGCTCACGTGCATACCGCTACCGCCGTTGCTGCTGCGAGGCGAGTCGGTGGATCCACGACCATGGGACTGCTGTTGCTGCTGGTACGAGTGCTGGCTGGTGACGCTCGGGGATGCACGCGACACGGCCGTGTCCCACGCAGCCGCAAGCTCCTGCAGCAGCTTATCGCCAACGTCGCCATCACCAGTGCTGTCAGCGCTGGCGCTGGAGGTTTGGAACGCCGCCACACCACCGCCGCGCGCGCCCGCTGCCTGTTGCTGCTGCCGCTGCATGTCCGCATCGAGCTGTCGCACGTGCTCGCGCCAGTCAGCCGTGGTGGACGATGCGTTGGACGAGGCTGTTGTCGCCGTGCCGGTGGAGTAGGTGGAGTCTGTGTTGACGCCACGCAGCGCGTGCATGTACGACTGCCTCACACCAGCACCGCCCACTTGCTCAGAGGACCCCTGACGCAAGGGGACAGTCGCCGGCATCATCTCCTTGAACGTTGCACTGAAGTCGTCGCTCTCACTCGCGTCCACGCTCACAGCATGCTGCTGCTGCTGCAGTTGATATTGCTGGTAGTGGTGGTCATGCTGTGCATTCGCGCGCATGTGTGGCGTGTGCTGACTGCTGCCACTGTTGTTGTTGTTGTTGTTGTCGTCGTCGCCGTAGTCCTCATCAGTACCGAGGTCTTGCGTCGCATACGTGTCCTGTACGTATTGCAATGGATGTGCACGGTGCCCCTTCTGCTGCTGCTGCTGCTGCTGCTGCTGCTCCTGCTGGAGGTGGCGCTGGTGGTGGTTGGTGACACACAGGGCCGCAAGCTCGCTGTCTGCGGATGCGTCTGAGTTGGCGCGCATCAGTGTGTGGTCCGGCAATTTGGTGCTGCTGTTGTTGTTCACAATGGTGTTGTTCAAGCGCATCCCATCAGCCATGAGCTGCTGCTTCATGTTGACGCCGGCACTGGTGCTGCTGTTGCCGTTGTTGGGGATTGCATTGCTGCGGCCACCTTTCCGCTGGTTGCCGTTGCTGCCGTTGTCAAAATCGAGAGACGCGCGCGCAGAGGAGAGTTGTGATGACACACCAGCAACAGCCATGTGCGACACCCGGTGCAGGTCAACGTCACCCCCGCCATGTGGGGTTGGCTGCTGCTGTGCGCCGGGCCGCAGACGGTTATGGCCACTGAAACTGTTATCACCGTCACCGTCATCATCATCATCACCAGCAGCAGCACAGTCATCATCAACACGAACATTGATGCCGTTGTGCGCTGCACCTGCGCCTGTGCCCGCCCTCGGAGCATCACGCAGTCGCGATGGTGACATGGGCGCGTGTGCTGCTGTGCTGGCGCGTCGACTTGATGCGAGCGAGTCTGGTGTCTGCATGCGTGACGTGGCAGTGCTGCTGCCAGGGAAGAGCGACGACCAGCGGATCTGCCCACTGCCGGTCGTGGCGGCGGCCGTGCTAGGCAAACTGCCCACAGAATCACGCACGGCAGCCGGGGTGCTGGGTGGCGAGGGCGGGAGCAGGCGTGCCTGTGCCCGCACGAGCCCCGTGATGATCATGAGCACCATGTTTGGGCTGTCGTACTGGTGATGCTGCAGCACTTCGTCGCGCAGATTTGGCGGGATCTGGTGGTGGGTTGGGTGGTTGCAGAGGGAGAGGCATCATGTGGCGCAAGGTGTGGCGTGGTGGTGAGAGGGAGAGGGAGAGGGAGAGGGAGAGGGGGTGTCAACCACGTCAAGTTTCATGTGCGCGTGCGCGTGTGTGCACGTGTGTGTGTGCACGTGTGTGTGTGTGTGTGTGTGCGCGTGTGTTTGCGTTTGTAAACGTGTGTCAACTGATGAGCAGAATGAACATGTAAAAAGTGTGTGTTGAAGAGCGAAAGTGAACGCAAACGCACCACAAAGATGTGTTCGTTGTAGTCGATGAGCATTTCCACAAGCTCGACAGCATAGGATTCCTGCAGAGGACAAGTCCAGGTTGCAGCCGCACGTGAGAGAATGCATGCATGCATGCATGTGGAGAGCAACGGACATGAGGTGTTGAAATGGAGAAAAACAGCAAGAACTCAGCCACGAACACACGTGTGATGATGCGTACGCATGAAAGCATGCATCTCTATCCCACTACAAGGCAAGCAGAGAGTGACAATTGCATGCATGCAGCGAGCACGGTTGGTCAAGGCTCACCTGGTCCACCTTCTTTGAGGCGTCCTCGGAGAACATGAGTGTGCGCTGGTCGATGCTACGTGATCGCGCCCGCTGCTTTGAGCTCGCAGCCACATCAGAGGCCGCCTGTGGGCAGGGAGGGAGGCAGGTTGACGTTGGGTGTTGGATGTGTGATGTGTGTGTGCGTGTGTGTGTCGTGTGAGTGTGTGTAGTGTGTGTCTGCGTGTCGTGTGTGTGTGTGTGTGTGTGTGTGTGTGTGTGTGTGTGTGTGTGCGGGCGAGGCACGGCAATCACTCCAGCCAACGTCGCGCTGAACGCATGCACAAATGCCACGGCCGTCATATCATGCATTCTCCATACAGCGGCTGAAGCGCATGCATGTGTGCTCGCTCACCTGTCGCAGGATGTTTGGCGCCATGATGACGGCAAGGTTGTGGCTGTCCATCTCGGATCCGCCAGTCTGCACACACGAGGAAGTGACCCGCGTATGGTGAGTGCTTCCGGCGCATGCGTGCATGCATTCGTACATGTACAAGAACCGCCAACAGCACAGTCATACACAGATTAATGCACTCACACGCGCGCACAAATACACACACGCAACCACGCAACCACAATCACAATCACACACACAATAAAAATATAAACGCACCTCGTGTGCGCGGATGGCAATGTCGTTGAGGAGGGCGAGCAGCGTGCGCAACACCTCCAGGTGCTCCATGGGCAGAAGACTGCACAGCAGCCGCAGCGCACGCAACTGCACGGCACTGTCGAGCTGGGGCACATCGAGGAACGCGCGATAGAGGCTGGTGGTGAGCAGTGGCTCGGGCATCTGGCGGAGAAAGTACTTGAGCACAGACGTGACGTCTGCAGGGCGGATGCCGTCGTAGTCTGGCCGCTCTCCGGCCTCAAACGCCTCGTTGATCTGATCAGGTGACAGGGGTCGAGCGGGTGATGGGGTGGAGTGGGATGGGGTGTTGGCGCGGTGAAAAGGAGAGTGTCATGTGGAGGGAGCAAGATGACGCCGACAACGGGCGTATATCATTTACAGGCGTGTGATTGGGGTTGTGGTGACAGAAACACACGCACACACACATGTGAGGCATGAGCAAGCGTATGCGTCGCACCATTCTGATTCTGCGTGCTGCTCCGGTGATGCGGAAGATTCCATGCACAGTTAACCCTGCAATAAAGTGTTGGAAATGTGCTGTGAGGGAGGGAGAGAACGAGACACGGGTAGGTACGGGCAGGCACCCAGACACACAGGAAGACAAATGGGCGGACACAAAAGCGCAAACACACGCACACAGGCACAGGCACACGCACACGCAGACACGCACACACACCGTGTTCTCGGATGTATTCGCATGTGCTGTGGACAATGAAGGGGACGCGAAGTGTCTGCATGTGAAACGTCCTCTTGTCGTGCGCAATCAACTGGAGAACATTGGCAGTGAAGGTGGGAGGGTGAGTGGGTTTGGAGAAGGATACCAGATAAATTGCAGCGCATAACACACGCCTGACACACACGCACGCACGCACACACACACGCACACACTGGCAACACCTCGTCCAGTGGCCGGCCAAAGACGCGGGCGGCGTCAGGGGAGGAGCGGTCGCTGCTGGTGACGGATTTGAGACGGGAGCGCGCGGTGTGGCGGCGGGCCATAATCTGGGTCGGGTCAAGCGCACCGCTGTTGTACTCGCTCTTTGACTTGCCAAACATCTGCATGTGTGCGTATGCGCGTTAAGGTGTGTGTATGTCCGTGTTGCGGGGAGCAAGGCAAGTGAGCAGTGGAAAGAGTGGAGCAGAGCAGTGGGTGCACAATGAAGGAGTTAACGTGACAAGCAGAGGAGCGCCTACAAGCCGCGCCATCTCAAACGCCTCGAGAACACACAACACACGCACACATACGCACGAGCGCACACGCCAGGAGCAGAGTGACACGTGCATGTGTGTGTGTGTGTGTGTGTGTGTGTGTGTGTGTGTGTGTGTGTGTGTGTGTGTGTGTGTGTGTGTGTTTGTGTGTGTGTGTGAGTGTACATGCTTTTGTGTTTGTGCGCTTGTGTGTTTGAAAGGTTGGCAGTGCAAACATGGACTGCAATGGCATCACATCAGCTCATGCACACACACGCACCTACGTGCACACTCATGCCCACACACACACACACACATACATTCATGCACGCACACACACGTCCATGCAAACACACACATGCACGCTGACCTGCGCAGGCTGCCGCCAAAGAGCCGGCGGACGCGGGAGGCGACGGATGTCTTCTCGTCCGCAGCAGACTTGTTGTCGGCGCAGCTGGCGTTGGTGCTGTCAGCCTTGCTGGTGCCGCTGCAGGTGTCGTCGTCGGCGTCCTGCTTGAGTGGCTTCTTTCGCCGACGCCACGACAGCCGAAAGCTGCTGCGTCTCGAGGAGCGCTTGGAGCGCCTGCCCTCGGTGTTGGCGGTGTCCGATGGGGACAGTGGCGGCTTGAGGGTTGCCGCTGCATCGGCAATGTCATGTGGCGGCTGCACAGGTGCAGTAGCGTCCGTCCCTTCTGTTCCCGGCAGCCGGCCAGGGGTGGTTGGCCGAGCCAAGCGGCGGCCGCGCATGGAGCTCTGCCTGTGACGGCCACGACGCTCCATACCGCGTGCTTGTGCTGGCAGTGCAAGCTGAAGCGGTGCTCGTGAGGTGTGTGTGTGGGGGGGGGGGGTGTTGAACAAAGGCGGTGTGGACAAGGTTGTTCGCTACTGTGGGATGCGCGGACGCCGGGTGCGCGATGCGGTGGTGGTAGATGTGGCTGGCTTGGCTGGGGTTGGTTGTGTTTGGTTGGCAATGCAAACTGCCTTGCTTGAGGAGGTGCCAAAACAACAACAACACCACCACCACCAACACAAGAAGCACTCGATGGCACCAGCAAAGATGGATGGAGACAGAGGGGAGACAACAGAGAGTCGGGGGTGCTCGAAAGACGAGACAAGCTGCGTATGACTTATAATGTGTGTGTGCGGTTTTCGTGCTGGAATTTGAAACTGGTAAGGGAGCATCCGTATCGTCTCCTGTGCGCCTTGGGGCTGTCTGTCAACAACCACACCCGCGCCTCCGCTGCATGCCTTGATGGTGAGGTGCTCGTGGGGTTGGCGGTGGCGTTTAGGGCGCCGAATAGCACCGAAGGCACGTTTCAGAACAATCTACGTTTCGCACAAATTGTACTCTAAATTGCTGCAGACGTCGCTATCCACCACTCAATACGCTCCTGACGAATAAACAGTCCTTCCGTCCGGAAAATACATTTTTATGGTGTCGTGATTATGGCTGGTCGTGGACCAGTTTGTGTTGTGTGTTCGTGTGTGTTCGTGCGGTGTGTGTGTTCGTGGTCGTGGCACCCACTCGCGCACATCAGCCACTCACAATCTCCCATTCACCCTCGCACTCGCTCACATCAGCCACTCACAATCTCCCATTCACTCTCCCATTCAATCGCTCACGGATTTACGCGCGGTCACTCACACATCCACTCATTCACATGACAGGTATGTACAGCAGCAGAAGCAGCAACAATTACGTATGTCAGACAAGGCAGTGTCAGAAACAATGGTGAAGGGACACGGCATGTAGTGTGCGCGATTGTGAGCACGGAAGTACGAATTTGTCTGTCTGCTTGTGTGTTTGTTTGTGAGTGTGTCTGTGTGAGTGTGTCTGTGCCACAGACAGATAAACATACAAAAGATATACACATGTACACAAACACATAACAAACGTATAAACGCACACAACCAAACACAGCGACTGCTAGACGACCGAGGAGCGCTGGTCCTCGTTGCTTGCTTCGGAGAGCGTGGAAGGGGACGAGTACTGCGAGGACGTGCGTCGCTTGAGCATGGGCGAACCAAACGTGGGAACGCTCAGGCGGTTGGGAGACGGCCGCTGCTGTTCGCTGTATTGCCGTTGCCCCTGCTGCTGGCGCCGTTGTTGCTGTGTTGCATCACTGTGCTCGCCGTGCTCGCTGTGCTGTGATCGGATGCTTGGCGTCGGTGTCTGCTCGCTCGGCAACGAGTGGAAGCTCAAATTGGACAAGTTGGACTCAATGCGAGGCAGCTGGAACGCAACCGTGTTGGTCTGGTCGTAGTCGTTTGCCGCTTGCTCCACCTGGTCGTTGCGTGCGCGTGTGTGTGCGCGCATGTGTGTGTGAATGTGTGTGTGTGTGTGTGTGTGTGTGTGTGTGTGTGTGTGTGCGTGTTGAGGGGAGGCTGATGTGAAGGTGTGGATAGGTGTAGGTTGGATCTAGGGTTAAGCTTTTGGATATTGAACCCCCCCCCCAAACGCAGATGAAACACAAGCAACGAGCGACATTTGACATTTGACATCGACACAAGCAAACAATTTGAAACGCATGCACACACACACACACACGCACACATGCGCACACGAACACAAGCACACGTATTCAGTCACATGCAGACACAAGCATCCATCCGCGTGTAACCTGCTCTGCGGTGGCCTTGAGGACCGTTGATTGGGAGCCCACAATCTTGCGATAGAAGCGATAGATGAAAACCATAAACAGGACAAATGCCGGGCTCAGGGTGCCCACGCCAGTCCACCCAGCACCAGGGGTGTGCGCCAGAAACTAGCAGAGAAGAAATGCGGTGCGTGTCAAGTCATTCGTGAGCCATTCAAGGAGGAGCCTTGGGCAGGCGGACGGGCAAGCAAGTTGGTATCACGGTGGCAAGCTAGAAAAGGGGGGGGGAGACACGTGCACGTACGAGGCTCAGCAGCCACAAGCAGAGGCAGCCACGAAAGCAGCCGCAACCACAATCACGAGGACAGATGCAAACAAAGACGCAACAACAAAACACAACCACAACCACAACCACGACCGCAAAGCTCAAGCACAAACCCAACCTTGATGTATGAGATGAGGGCGAGCTGGAGAAGGAAAAGCGCAATGCCGACGCCATTGGCAAAGAACCACGCTTTGCTGATGTACGACGAGAACTGGTCCAAGTGCTTCACACGCTCCAGCAACCCCTTAATCCCAGCCACCAACACAACACGATGAGGAGCGCCAAACCAACGACAGACACAGAAGAGAGCCATCTTCATAACAAATGCACGCACACACACATAGACATGCGCACAGACATACACAACGGTACATGCACAACATCCACTCACGCATACACACACGAACACACATGCACATATACGTCGGATCGCACATTATCGTGGGAAGTGTCGGTTGTATCATCAAACAGAGTGTCTGTAGCAGCGTCGAAGGGGGCACCCAACAGTACGAGATGAGCCAATGCATTATTGAGTGTCATTGATAATCACGGATTGTACATACACAGTCTGACAGTGCAGTGCAGCGCAGTGCAGTGCAATGCAGTACAGTACAGTGCGGTGCAGTGTGGTGCAGCGCACGCAACACACACACACACACACACACACACACACACACACACACACACAAGCACACACACAAGCACACCCACACCCACACACACACACACAAGCACACACACAAGCACACACACAAGCACACCCACACCCACACACACACACACACACACACACACACACACACACACACACACACACACACACACACACACACACAAGCACACACACAAGCACACACACACGAAAGCACACGAAGCACGACACCTTGGGGCCCGATGAGATTGTGCAGGGCTTGGCCCTTTGCGCGGGCGGTGAGTGCTCTCTGTGCAAGGTGATGATCAATGTCTTCGATGGCACTTTTGAGATAGGGAAGTACGCTGGTTGACACCATCAGTGCGAACAGATGGAGCGCGATCAGCACCGACGTTACTGCAGAAAAGATGTAGAACACTGGGTTGTTGTCAAACTCTTCCACATGTGTACGTCCCTCTGGCAAGTTCAACTCCACCATGGCCACGAGGGCGAAACCGGAGAGCAGCGCCTGCATCGCGCATAAATGTGCGAACATGAGGACGTGAGAGTGATGGACGCATTGTGAAGTGTGGCCAAGTGCGTTGTAATGTGTCAACGTTCTTGGGATGTTTCACGTGGAAGGGACGGCCTGCGCGACGCTCTATTGCTGCGACTGACACCCACCACGCATATGCATTGCCATCGCAACACACACACACACACAACGATGCACACGCATCACCCGCATCACACTCACGAAGACACACTCACTCCCACACTCACAAACCACACATCACACACACATCACACACATGACACACGCGGTGGCTGACCGATGTGCCGCCGGTTTGCTCCAGCTTGTGTGTGAAGAGGGCGAGCTGCCGTCTTCGTGCAGGTAACGACTCCATCCTCGAGTCACAGCGAAGCAAGCACAGCAACCAGCAGCAGCACAGCAGCAGTCGGTCAGCACCAGCACCAGCACCAGCACCACCAGCACGTTGCGGTTGTCCTTCGTGCAAATGGTGGATGGATGATGACCAACATCTTCGTGTGTCGTCGTCGGCGGCGCGTCGCTGAACAAAACAAGATAAACGCGTTTAGACAGTTCGCCACACTTTGATGACGTCATTTGCGTTCGTGGTGGATAGCTGTTTCGGCGCGAAGCGGAAACTGATGTTTGCTTCTTCTTCTTCTCTCGCTTGTTTTCCCCCTGCTCTGATTCTTCTTCTTCTTCTTCTGTCTGTGTGCTTGACAACACTTTGCACAGCAACCTTCCCTCTGCTTCATGACCTTTTCTCTGCCTGTTTGTTTGTGAGAGCACAACACGCCTGTTTCCTTCCCTTGTGTGTTGCGCATCTGCTCATTCGTGGCTCACACCACAGCAACCAACAACCCGCCTTCGAACAAACATTGACAAAGCCGACGACCCAACGAGCAAAGACGAGGAGCAAGGTGTGTGTGTGCGTGCGTGTGTGCGTGAATGTACATGTGTACGCGTGTGTGCGTGTGTACATGGCTGTGTGTGTGTGTGTGTGTGCGTGTGTGCGTGTGTGTGTACATGCATGTGTGCACATGTATCTCCCATCACGTGGTGTTGTTTGTGTTTGTGATTGTGTGCGTTTTCGGTGCGCGGCACACACCACATACACGTGCACATACGTCAAGTTCACGGCACTGCTACGTTGAAAGAGCACTCAGGGTCCTTGTGTGTGTGTGTGTGTGTGTGTGTGTGTGTGTGTGTGTGTGTGGCGCTTTTGTGTATGTGTGTGTGTGTGTGGTGCTTGTCGACGTGTTCATGTTTGCGTTGCCACACTCGCGCGCTTACGGTATGGACTTGCATACATACGCATGACACGAACACGCGCGCCCAAATCCACACCACCTTATCCCCAGTCTATCTCCACAACAGAGTCTTCCCCACCCTTCCCTCCTCCACTCCTCCAAACCGACTTAGTTTGTCCATCGTCCAAGCCTCAACCACAACCATGGGCAACTGCGCGAGCTGCAACTCCACGCAAGTGCTTGGCGGCAAGAACGGCCCTGTCGACGGCATGAACGCCAATGGCAATGGTGCCACCGCCAACAACAACAACAACACTCAAGTCAACGGCAAGGCCGACAACAACACCCAGGCCAACGGCGCCGGTGTTGCTTCTCGGCTGGAGACTGTGGCTGAAGAAGACGCCACCCACCAGGAAGTGCAGACGGCGCCCGCCACCGCCACCGCCTCAGGGGAAGAGCAGCCCAAGGGCGAGGATGCTGCCGACAAGCAGGACGAGCAGCCGGCGTTTCTCCACGCTTACAACGTCAACCTGAAGATCAACCAGATTCGCGAGTCCAACCCTGAGAACCGCATGGCCAAGCACTTTGACATTGCGTACTTTATGGAACTCGACAAGGACCAACAGCGCGGTCTGGTGCAGTGCTGCCGCAGCGGTCTGGAGAACCCAGACTCCTCCATGGGCTGCTGTGAGTAGATGCGACAACACCGTGCGCGCGCAGCCATGCTTTGTTATTTTGCTGCTGCGTGTTTTGGGCTTGCGTTGGCCGTGATGTTGCTCGGTTGGTGTTGCGTATGCCTCAACACACACAAACACACAAACACACACACACACATTCTCTCTCTCGCCTACGTGTTCATGCGTTCTTTCCTTTACATACTCGCTCACACACACGCGCGCGCATTCACACACACGTACACACGCATTCACACACGCACATGCACATACACACACATATGCACACGCACACACACACACACACACACATTCGCACGTGCACAACGGCACGACACAGACGCCATGCAGCCCGCGGACTACGACCGGTTCAAGCCGTTCTTCAGCAAGGTGATTGCGGACTACCACGGCGTTGCCGAGGATGCCAAGCACGTGAACAGCTGGGACCTGTCTGGGGTTGAGGGCCTTCCTGAGGGCGGCAAGCTGGACCTTGCGGCACTTGGGCTGCCAGCCCTGAGCATGCGCGTGCGCGTTGGACGCAACCTTGCTGACTTCCCACTGCCAGGCGCCATGACGCAGGAGGACCGCGTCAGCCTCGAGAAGAAGGTGTGTGTGTGTGTGTGTGCATGTGTGTGTGCATGTGTATGCGTGTGCGTTCATACCCTGATGCGTGAGCCCTCACTGCCTCACCTCGCCCCCACCCCACTCTCTTCCTCGCTCGCTCACACATCACTCACATCGCACACACCCCACTCTCTTCCTCGCTCGCTCACACATCACTCACATCGCACGCACATGGCACACATGGCACACAGATGTGCGAGGCGTTTGAGAAGCTCAAGGCAATGCCCGAGTACGGGGGCGGGTACAACTCGCTGACGCCCGGGCACCCGGACAAGATCAGCGACGAGGAGTACAAGCAGCTGGTGGCGGACCACATCATGTTCAAGGACATGGCGGCAGACCCGTACCTGGCGAGCGCGGGCATTGCGTCTGACTGGCCGTACGGGCGCGGGTGCTACGTGTCTGAGGACCGCGGGTTTGTGATCTGGGTTGGCGAGGAGGACCACCTGCGCATCATGTGCATGAAGAAGGGCACGGTGCTGAACGACGTGTTTGACCGGCTCAAGACGGCGCTTGATGTTGTGAGCGGGATTGAGGGCCTGTCGTTTGCCATGTCGCCAGACTACGGCGTTGTGACGAGCTGCCCGACGAACCTGGGCACGGGGATGCGCGCGAGCGTGCACATTGGGCTTCCGAAGCTGACGGCTGACGGGACAGATGCCAAGGCGAAGGAGGTGTGCAAGCCGCTTGGGCTGAGTGTGCGCGGGATTGGTGGAGAACACACGCCGATTGGCGAGGGCGGTGTGTGCGACATCTCGCCACGCGCGCGCTTCTGCATCACGGAGGCGGAGATCATCTGCGCGCTGTACAAGGGCATCAAGCTGCTCAAAGAGAAGGAGGACGACATCGAGAGTGGCGAGAGCAGCGGCAATGAAGAGCAGCAAGAGCAAGTGGAAGAAGAAGAGCAAGTGGAAGAAGAAGAGAAGAATGAGGAGGCAACCGAAGAGGGTGAGGCGGAGGAGAAGGAGACCACAGCTGGAGAAGAGGAAGACAATGTGGATGAGGCAGCAGACGCTGAAGAGGAGAAGGGGGAGAAGGAAGAAGAGGAGGCAGAGGCAGAACCAGAGGCAGCGGAGCCTGAGGGCGAGGAACAGGAGACGACGGAAGACAAGAACGAGGAGGCGGGCGAGGAAACACTTGCTGCGGATGAGGAACAGCAGCAGGAGGGGGAGCAGGCAGAGGCCGCTGCCCCTGCTGACGGCGCCGACAGCGACAAGCCGGATGAGGTCGAAGCAGTGACCGAGGAAGCGGAGAAGAAGGACGAGGATGCAGCCGGGGAGGAGGAGGACAAGGAGGAAGGGGCGCCAGCCGATGCTGTTGCTGAGGAGGAAGAGAAGACGGAGGCTGAGCCTGAGGAGAAGGCTGAAGATGCCGCGGAAGATGAGGAGCAAGAAGACCAGAAGCCGTCCGAGGAAGAGGAGGCAGAAGAGGCAGTCGACGAGCCCGCCGCAGAGGAGGAAGAGAAGCAGACGGAGGATGACAGCAGCCCTGCTGATGCAGAGGAGAATGCAGGCGAGGATGCGCCAGAGCAGCAGCCAGAGGGCGAGAGCGAAGAGCCCGCTGCGGAAACGGCAGAGGCAGAGAAGGAGGATGAGGCAGCTGAACCAGAGGCTCAGGAGGCGGCGGCGCAGAAGGAGAATAAGCCGGCTGAGGAGACTGAAGAGAAGCCGCAAGAGGAGGAGCCTGCCGAGACTGAGGCAAGCGAGGAGATGGCTGGTGGTGATGACACGACCGCGGAGGAAGAGGCGGAGGAGCCCGCGAAGGAGGAGGAGGAGACGAATGAGCAGCAGGAGGAGGAGGAGGCAGCTGCTGGTGACGAGGACGAGCAGGCCGAGCCCGCGGCAGATGAGCAGGAGAAGGAGCAGGAGAAGGAGCAGGAAGAGGCACAGGAGGAGGACAAGAAGCAGGAAGAGGAGAGTGGCGATGCCTCGACTGACGGCGACGCAGCTGCTGAAGAGCAGGGGGCTGATGCTGCTGCTGAGAGTGGCAACCAGAGCGACCAAGTCAAGGCTGACAAGGAAGAGTAGGCGCTGCCATCCAAGAGGCAGCCCTTGCTTCCAAAGATGCGCGTGCGTGTGTGTGTGTATGTGTGTGTGTGCCTGCGGCGCTCCCTCGTTCTGAGCGTTGCATATTGTACTTGATGTGTGATTTTATTTTTGAACTCGTGCAAGGCAGTGACTATCTTATCTTGCTTGCGCGAAGAAGCCCCGTTGTCTGCGTTTGGGCTTTCATTTCAGTTGGTGCGTTGCTGTTGCGGGTATATTGCTGGCGTCCGTTGCATTGCATGGCGTTGCATGCCATGTCCAATGTGATGTGCACGTGTGTGTCTTGTGATGAGTGCGACTACGACGATTGTGACTGTGTGTGTGTGTGTGATGCCGTGACTTGATGACCACGATGGCTTTGTTGATGTCCGGTCTGGTGTCCTCTTGTGTCCTCGACAAAGACATATCTATCCATCAGCAACAGCCAACACACACATGCATGCACAGTTGTCACTTGACGCCGAAGGTCTGAAAAATTTCCGTCACACACTTGCACGTCACCAAATGATGTGTGACATGCCACGTGTGATGTGTACACGTTGAGGGTCGAGAGTCAGGAAGGGAGGCAGCAGAGCATGGGACATGCCAAGCAAGCAAGGGCAAGGGCACGCCACAGCAGCAGTCTGTCATGTCACACAGCCGCAGTCATGGAAAAAACGCTGACTTGGCATTTTCCACCAATTGTTGTGTCATCCTCATCGTCGCAGCATGAGTCATGATGTTGTGGTTGCGACCAACCCCGCAAAGCAAGCAAGCCAGCCAGCCAGTCAGTGAGACGTCAGGCGTCTGAGCGTGGGCGCAAGCGGGCGTGGACAAAGCCATTTTGCACAGCACCGCGCTCTCGCTCTGTCCTGACGTCCATTTTCCCCAACACCGAAGAACAAAGCACACCGCAAGAACGAAGAAAGCCTCACATTATCATCACATCTCATATCTCACGCCACCTGATCCACATCAGCACTGATATCGCTTCCACCACCACCAAGCAAGCAAGGACACAAACGCCAACACCCCCTACAATCACCGCCCACGGCGTCGCTTCATTCGATTGCCATCCGTCAACGCCGACATGCCCGCCTTCGCCAACTTTTTCGGGTGCAACCTGGATCCCCGGACAGGCGAGCCCCTGGTGTGTGTTTTGGTGCACACCATGGCATTGGCCTCATCCCATATTCTTCTGGCTTATGTCTTCATGCCTCCATGTTCCCTTGTGTTCATCTTTCTTGACTCACTCACATACGCATACACACACACACACGGACACGCAACAACAGAACTGTGCCAACCTGGTGCGGGCCCACGACAACTTCTGCTGTGAGTTTTGTCGACACATTTCCCTCGCCATGGCTCGTGTGTATGGCTTGACTTGATGTGATGTGACATGATGTGACACACCAATTTTGTCCTGACTTGTGTGTGTGTGTGTGTGTGTGTGTGTGTGTGTGTGTGTGTTATGTTGCTCCTGATGCTTGATGGACCGCTTTGCAGCATTGATGACAACAACAACACCTTGCACACCAACAACAATCAACACATCATCACACACTCTCTCCTGTCTGTGTTTGCTTTCTTTCTCCTCACCAAAAATGCACACCCGCACACGCACGCTAACGGCAGACAACGCGACCACGGTTGGGCGCGATGAGCCCCTGAGGTCCTTCTTCACGGGAGAGCCATTGACGGGGGGAGTGCCGCTCGAGAAGGAAGAGCTCGCCGCCTTGCAGCGCCACGTGAGCAAAGCGCCGGATGCCGCCCGTCCCCAGGGCATCTCCGACTTCTCCCTGCCACACGTGCAGCAGCTCCTCGAGAACGGCACCTTGCCCGCCTTGCCTGAGACCAAGTTTGGGGTCTCCGCCAGCCAGCGCGACGGCGCGTCCTCGCTGCTCGACCGCATCATCGACATCCCCATTCTTCCCGACAACACGCGCGCCACCATTGTGGTCGAGTTCCACCCAGGCCCCATGCAGCTGCCGCACATCACGCAGCGCACGTGTTCCGACGGCACGGAGGTGGCTCTGGACACGCTCGTGTTCGGTGGCGGTCCAACTGGCCAGCAGCAGGCAGGCGTGACTGGAGACCTCGTGCCATGGAACCACATCAAGGAGAGCGCCAAGGCCCGTGCTGATGCCCTTGCCGCACGCTTGCAGGGCACTGACCCGCACGCCACGACCGATGTCGAGATTGTCATCCGCCTTACCCAACCACACTTCCCGCGCATCAACGCCTACGACATTCCTGGTCGCGTCGTCCTCCCGCCATCACTCGCCACAGACATCACGTGAGTGTGTGTGTGTGTGTGTTCATGAGTGTGCATGTGCGTGTGTGCGTGTGTACAATTGTGTGTGTGTGTGCGTATGTGTGTGTTGTGTGCGTATGTGTATGTGTTGTGTGCGTCACCTTGCTCGTATGAGTGTGCAATCACTTCGCTGTTCATTTTGTTTCCCTTGTTTGCTGTGTTGCCCTTGCACTGTCACCATCGTTCCTCACAGCATTGACCCCACACTTACATACACACACACCCATACACACTCATACACACTCATACACACATGCACACACTCATACACACTCATGCACACACGCACACACGCACAAACACACAACATGTTCGCGTGCACACCTACAGGGTGATTCGTGAGAGGATGTTGGCACAGAACAACCTGCACGCGATTGTGCTGGCACGCGCAGGCACGCTGCTCAACAACGTGCTGGCCATTGGCGAGTTGGGAGACAAGTTCCCACATCTCTTTGAGACTGCAACCCTCGTCATGACACTCATGGACAATGGCGTGCGGCCAGAGGAAAACGCGCGTGCCCTGGTTGACGCCGATCTACTGCACGCGTTTGGCAACGGCTTTGTTGTCGTGCCGAGCCCACGTACACCTGACGTGGCAGATCACACCGCATACGCCCCCGCACTCGCCCAGGAAGAGCAGCTCACGGACAGGCTGCAGCAGTTTGACGAGCTCAACGGCCGCATTGGACGCACCGCGTTCCTGGCCGCACTCAAGCGTGTGTACGACAGCGACCACATGCGCCTGTGGGTGGGCCGTGCCTACCACACCGCCCACAAGCTGTGCATGGCGAAGCGTGCGCGCGTCATGGAGCTGTCACCATACTTCACCACCCCGGTCCCCGACGCGTGCACCGCCTCCAGGCAGACGCTGAACGGTCTCGACGCCACCAACGCGACTTCCCCGCTCGCCTCCACACCAGAGGCCGAGCTGCGCGTGCTGCTGTGCGACCGCAGCGCGGAGCTGATTGGCGAGCGCCAGCGTGAGATTGACGCCACCATCAACAGGCGCGTGTTTGAGCTGATCGTCAGGCGTCTACAGCAGGCGGAGGACCGTGTGCGTGAGGGCGCGCGAGGCGACGCTGCCGGCATCGATGCCACCACCGCCCTCGTGGCGCAGGCGCGTCAGCTGCACCGCGAGTTGAGCGATGAGCTTGCGGCCGTTGTCAACGACCTGAGGGATGGGACAATCGCCGGTGCCGTGGCCGACATTGTCAAAAGTGCCCTGCAGGAGGACACGTCGCCCATGAACGTGCACCGCTTCCCAACTTTCATCGCCAACACCGCACAAGCCGTGCGTGAGTTCTTCCACGAGAACGTGGACAGCGTGCTGGCGCTCGCCGTGGCGGAGTTCTCTGCCACCTTTGTGGGCGATCATCGCACGTTGTTCACGTTCCGCCACCATCCCGGCAGCGCCGGTGGAGGCGACGACGACGATGGCATCGTCACGCCCGCTTCGCTGGAGTACACGCCGCCCGACCTCAAGCCTCTCACGGGCAAGCTGCACATGTACGTTGCCAGCGCGGCCATGGTGATTGACTGGGAGGCGATGAGGAAGGCTGTGCTGGAGGATCGCATGCACGCCTTTGATCTCACGGAGCAGGAGACAGTGGTGCGTGAGCGCGTGCAGCTGTTTGACGATATTACGCAGCTGAACGAGGCCCTCGGTGACATCTGCCGCCTTCGCAACCGCCAGATGGACACGCATGCAGCCGACCAGCTCGGTGCCATTGCTGTTGAGGATGTGACGCCTGAGAACCTGCCAGGCCTCTCGCAAGAGGCCGTGTTTACGCTGCAGCAGCTTCGCACGCAGGATGCCGCCTTGACAGAATTCTCGTGCGTTCATTCGTGGGCTTGTGCTCGATCTTGTGTTTGTGTGCTTGCATGCGTATGTATCGTGTGTACAGTATGTGTGTGTGAATGCGTATGTATCGTTGTGTGTGTGTGTGTGTGTGTGTCTTAGTGTTTGTGCGTCTTAGTGTTTGTGCGTCTTAGTGTGTGTGTGTGTGTGTGTGTGTGCGTCTTCATAACACCATCGTGAGAGCGTGGAGATAGATACTTGTACTCACACGATTGGCTGTTTTGTTTTTCTCGTGCCGTATTTCTCTCTTGTGTGCACACAGAGCCGACGTGGGTGCTGACGTTGAGCTTCCAGTGCTCGTCAGCACGGTCAACATCCTCTCCTCCAGCCAGCATCTCACCTCTGTCAGGTTGGTAGAATTCATGAGGGTTGTGTGTGGGGGGGGGGAGGGTGTGTGTGTGTGTGTGCTTGGTTCATGTGTTGTGCTTGTCCCTCCTTTTTTCAATGCCTGCATGCAACAATCACATGACGACGTTTACACACACACACACACACACACACACACACACACACACACACACACACACACACACCACACCACACCACACCACACACACACACACAATGCATCGACATGCCAACTTTCCCATTCTCACTCGTACAACGACACACAAACCCTGAATCCTTTCTTGCTGCAGCTTCTCCAACCTCGATCTCTCTCGCACGGACGGCGATCTGAGTGTGCGTGACAGCGTGTCCACGCTGCTTCTCTTCACTCCTCATCTCCAGCACTTGACGTATGTAATCACAAGCATCTATGACCACACCTGTGCGCCGTTTACTCCTGTTTGAATGTCACTTCTGTGTCGATCGCCTCTACACCCCCCTGTTTATTCACACAACAACAACCACACGCACATACGCACACACATACGCGCACATGTGCAGGCTACCCGGCGCCAAGTGCGGTGACAGTGATGATGCGAGCTGGCTTCGCAAGGCCATCATGTCAAGCACCACCCTCAAGACAGTCACGTGAGTTGCCTCTCTTCGTTCTCGCCCTGTGTTCTCAAAGGCTGCACTTTGCTTTCTCGCTCCTGAACACCACTCAACGCATATGTGTGTGTGTGTGTGTGTCTATCGAGCTGACGCTCACTATTCCATACGAACGTACACGTTCACTCGCTCACATGTATCCCCCCACCCCTCCATGTGCCTGGGCTCGCGACGTTCAGGGTGACGGGCGTGAGTCGAGCGGACGGCGACGCGCTGCGTGCGGCAATTGGCGATGCCGTCAGCGAACACTCGACACTCACAGCCGTCACAATTGGCATCGTGGAGCCTCCTGCCCCTGCCGACGTTGATGCTGGTGACGATGGCAACGAGGGGGGTAACGAAGGTGGCGACAGCAGCAACAACAACAACGACGACGACAACAACAACAACAACAACAACAACAACAACAACAACAACAACAACGACGACGACGACGAGTCTGGCGACAACAACGGTGGCAACAGCGATGACACCGGCACGGGCAACGGCAATGAGTCTGGCGACAACAAGGGGGAGCAAGTACCTGCACCCGCCAGCAGCACAGGAGAGCTCGCCACACCCGATGACGATGACATTGCGGAGCAGTACAAGGCAGCCAGGGCGGAAGGCATTGCGTGCTTCAACGACTCAAAGTTTGAGGAAGCGGTGGCCGCGTTTACGCGCTGCGTTGAGCTGGACGCCAACAACCTTGGCGGATACAACAACCGCGCCGAGTGCCGCCTGAAGCTGAAGCAATATGAGGAGGCGTTGGCTGACACAGCTGTTGTGCTGAACAAGGACCCAGCAAACGTCAAGGCGCTCTTCCGCAAAGCAGAGGCACACGAAGGGCTGGAGGACTTTAATGCCGCGCTGGACGCATACACGCGCTGTGCAGACGTCGACCCGGACTTCTCCAACGTGCAGGCGAAGAAGCAGGAGATGGAACAGATGATTGCGGCCGTGGCAGCATCCAAGGCCGACGCTGATGGTGGTGATGGTGCCAATGATGGTGAACAGGGTGAAGAGGAAGCTGGTGATGGTGAAGGTGAAGGTGAGGAAGCTGGTGAGGGCCAAGCGAATGGTGAGGATGCCAACCGCGAGCATGATGACGAGCATGCTGGCGACGAACCAGCTGTGCCAGCCAGCCACGACGATGAGTTGCTTGCACCGCTTCCCGAGGACATTCTGGAGCAGCTGGCGGGGAAGAGCAAGGAGGAGCGATGGCAGTTCCTTGGCGACCGGCTGTTTGCGCGCGTGGAGATTCTCGACCGGGTCAACGCGGGCCGGATCACGGGGATGCTGCTCGAACAAGACGACGAGGCCACGGTGGCGCTGATGCGAGACCAGGACGCGCTGACTCGCCACGTGCAGCAGGCGCAGGAGGTGATTGCTCGGACGGCCAGCAACGAGGGTGAAGTTGGTGAAGGTGGTGACAACAACAACGACGAAGGTGGTGAAGGTGGTGAGGGTAACCAGGAAGGTGGTGAGAACAACAACAACGAAGGTGGTGAAGGTAACCAGGAAGGCGGTGAGAACAACAACAACGAAGGTGGTGAAGGTAACCAGGAAGGCGGTGAGAACAACAACCAGGAAGGTGGTGAAGGTGGTGAGAACAACAACCAGGAAGGTGGTGAGGGTAACCAGGAAGGCGGTGAGAACAACAACCAGGAAGGTGGTGAGAACAACCAGGAAGGTGGTGAGAACAACAACGACGAAGGTGGTGAGAACAACAACAACAACGAGGAAGGTGGTGAGGGTAACCAGGAAGGCGGTGAGAACAACAACAACGAAGGTGGTGAAGGTAACCAGGAAGGCGGTGAGAACAACAACAACGAAGGTGGTGAAGGTAACCAGGAAGGCGGTGAGAACAACAACCAGGAAGGTGGTGAAGGTGGTGAGAACAACAACCAGGAAGGTGGTGAGGGTAACCAGGAAGGCGGTGAGAACAACAACCAGGAAGGTGGTGAGAACAACCAGGAAGGTGGTGAGAACAACAACGACGAAGGTGGTGAGAACAACAACAACAACGACGAAGGTGGTGAGAACAACCAGGAAGGTGGTGAGAACAACAACGAGGAAGGTGGTGAGGGTAACCAGGAAGGCGGTGAGAACAACAACGAGGAAGGTGGTGAGGGTAACCAGGAAGGTGGTGACAACAACAACAACGACGACGAAGGCGGTGACAACAACAACGACAACGACGAAGGCGGTGACAACAACAACGACAACAACGCCGACAACTGATCTCTTCAATGACTTGACTGACGTGTGTGTTTGTTCTGCTCTTTTTCTGCCTTTCTGCTTCCTCCTTGTCGTGCGTGCGTATTGCTCTTTGTTTTGCTTTGCATCTTTCCGTTTTCTCTTGCGAGCCTTTTGCGTGTGTGTACCAGTGTACTTAAACCAGCGACACTTTGAACACAGTCGTAGTGATGATGATGATGATGATGATGATGATGATGATGATGATGATGATGATGATGATGATTTTGCGGTGGTGTTTGGTGTTGTTTATGTGCAGAACACAGGCCACATTGCGTGTTTTTGTTGACAGCAAGGCGCAGTGTCCAAAAGGCAACAGCTAGCCACACATGCTGACACTAGACATGAGTGTCGAATAGAACTGACAAGAACAAAACAAAACGCACATGAACAGGGCACACACACACACAGAGACGTACAGCTAAACACACACGCGCGCGCGCAGACGTACGGCTACACACGCACACACACACACACACACACACACACACACAACACGAACTCACACACAAACAAACAAACGTACAGCTGCATCGACACTGTCTCGTCCACGAACACTACACGCAGGTCACCAGAGAGTGACCATGTCATCGACCTTTGAGAGCGCTGCATCCTGCAGCTGTTCCAGCGCCAACTCCAAGACCTTCGCGTGCACATCCTCGATGGACAGGCCGGCGACGTCGATGCGCCGGGGCGGTCGCGTCATGCTCGCATACAAGTCCTCATACTAACCGCCGTGGTGTCGGTGGTGGTGTGTCATGGTGGATGGGTGGTGAAAGTGGGGAGGGGGAAAGGGTGAGGAGTATGAGAGCGACCACAGCAGAGCGATGGATACGATTGGAGTTGCAAGGACCATATCCAACACGTAACACCAAACACGCTGTCTCACGTGCATTTACACACGAATCCACACTCACACACGAATCCACACTCACACATGAATTCACATACAGAAAGGCACACACACACACAAAAACACACACACACACACGCACTCAGGGGCATAGACAATCACCGCGTGCGCACCTTTGCCTTGACCTTTGCCTGGAACTCTGTCACTTCATATCGCTCTGATCCAAAACCGACGCGCTTGGCGGCCTCTGTCGGGTCCAGCTCCAGATGAATGTGCAAGTCTGGCGAGGGCAGGTTGGCGTCGGGGCTCTTGCACCAATCCATGTCCAACCCCTGCATGGCATCCAAACAGCACGTCATTGCACGTGGCAAACAGTTCACATGCATAAGCCAAGTGCACAAGCCAAGTGCACATGCAAGGAATTGTGCGCGCAACACCACGCCTCACTGCACACACACTCTCTGTCTCTCTGTCTCTCTGGCTCTGGCTCTCTGTCTCTCTGTCTGTCTCTCGCTCTCGCGCTCGCTCTCTCTCACTCGCACACGCACACGCACACACATTCACACACTCACACACTCTCACACACACACATTCACACACTCACACACTCTCACACACACATTCACACACACTCTCTCTCTCGCACACGCACACACACACATTTACACACTGCATCATACACACGCACGCACCTTTGCGCTGGTGAATGCAACGCCGGAAAAAGCGTAGCGGTCAATGACCAGGGACACGCCGCTCTTCAGGGCCTGCTTCATCTGCGAGACCAGCTCCCACCGGTTTGCGGAGAAGAGCAAGTGCGCTGCGTGATCGTCCAGCTCAATCTCCTTGCGCAGGTATTTGTCGATGACGCCGCCAATCACTGTGGAGCGCTCCGGGAACCGCATCAGCTTTGCCTCATGCCCCAACGAAGCCAGCTTCTCAACGAGCAACTTGCATTGCGTGCTGTGTGTGTGTGAGTGAGTGTGTGTGTGTGTGTGTGTGTGTGTGTGTGTGTGTGTGTGTGTGTGTGTGTGTGTGTGTTAACTTGTACTTTGCCCTTCACAGGTTCGTTGTCCTCCTCAAAGAGTGCAAACACACACACACACACACACACACACACACACACACACACACTAACCACACACACTAACCACACACACTAACCACACACACTAACCACACACACTAACCACACACACACACACACACACACACACACACACACACACACACACACACACACACACACACACACACACACACACACACACACACACACACACACACAAACACACACACACACACACACACACACACACACACACACACACACACACACACACACACACACACACACACACACACACACACACACTGACTGACTGACCTCTTGCCACAGCGATCGGTGCCTTCCAAGACGATGAGAACTCCGCGGCGCGCCATCCTCGAATGTTGAAATCGACAGCATAAAATGTAGCCACAATCACAAAAAGCAACGACGAGAGCGGTCGCAACGACACACACACACCACCACAATCACAACAATCACAACAACAAGCACCAGGAATACTGCCCCTCCACCCCCACCTCCTCCCTTTCCTTGTTGTTCTCCGTTGGTTGTCAACGCTCTCTGTGTTCTTGGCCACGGAACAGAAACATACCTGCACGTAGCTTCAACACTTTGCGTACGCTCAACTGCAGCAGACCTCTGACACCGCCAGCACCTTCGTTTTGGCTTCAAAGTCAAATTGTGTCGACATCCACACCGTCATCATCACATCGCTCAAACAAGCACACAACGCCGGGACTGCCGTCGCATTTGTGCGCGTGTTTTCCAAGAGCGGCCGTCGCCCATCACGCACTCCTCCAAGCCAAGCGCACTAACACCACAGCCTTCCATACCTTGCAGAGCATCGAAACAACTCCCCCCTCCCCCCAATACAGCCATGTCCTCTTCCATCACACCCGCGCGCAAGCGCCTCATGAAAGACTTCAAGCGCCTGCAGGAGGATCCACCTCAGGTATACCCCTTGACACAACACCACACTGCAGACGGGCTGCTCTGAATGCGCCTGACCTGCAACTGCTGCCGCCCAGCGTTCAACACCTGCACACACATACATACAAACATACACACACACATACACACACTCGCACACGTTCATACGTACATGCACGTGCATACAAAGGTGATCATTATCACACCGTGGCACTTCTCAACTGACGCATTTTTTGTTGGTGTGGTGTGGGAATCCAGGGCATCATGGGTGCTCCCGTGGAGAATGATATCATGACCTGGCACGCCGTCATCTTCGGGTACGCTAACGCGTGCGCGCGCGGGTGTGAATGTGTGTGTGTGAATGTGTGCGTGAATGAGACAAGTATGTGTGCGTGAATGAGTGTGAATGTGTGAGTGTGTGTGTGCCTGAATGAGACACAAGTACACAGGCACACACCAGCACGACGCGCAGGCACCAAACCAGTGTTCTTGAACAGACGCGCACTTGCACGATCTCACGCCTTCGTCCTGTCTTCGTACCTCAGACCTGAAGGAACACCGTTCGAGGATGGCGCATTCAAGTTGACGCTCACATTTACAGAGGATTACCCAAACAAGGCGCCTGTCGTCAAGTTTGTTTCCCGCGTCTACCACCCCAACGGTGAGGCCAGCAGCAGGGCGTATCGTCTGTACACACGCAGTGCGCATGCGCTCCCTTCTCGCGCAATTTTGAGTGGATGCTTGCTTTCATCACAACGCTGGCATTCCACACACACACACACACTGTCTCTCTCACATTCACACACACACTCTCTCACACACACGCACGCACTCACACACACACACTCACACTCACACACACACACACACACTTGTGCAGTGTACAAGGATGGGTCGATATGCCTCGACATTCTGCAGAACAAGTGGAGCCCGACGTACAATATCACGGGTATCCTGACGTCCATCCAATCGCTGCTGGACGAACCAAACCCAAACAGCCCGGCAAATGCGGAGGCGGCACAGCTGTATCGGGAGAACAGGAGAGAGTACGAGCGCAAAGTGCGCGACTGCGTGGAGGAGTCGTGGTCGAGTGACGAGGAGGAGGAGGAGGATGAGGATGAGGATGGACAGGACGGTGATGACGATGACGACGGTGCTGATGGCGACGCACCAGATGCAGACAAGCCCGACGCAGCGGAACAATGAGCTCGAAATCATCGTTTGGTGCAGCCACGCGTGGCAAGCGTATGTGTGTGTGTATGTGTGTGTGGCGCGCTCTCATGCATGTTATGCGTGACATGTGCGTCACATCTGGTGTATTCGTGCAATTTGTATACTGTTGAGTTACGTGAGAGTATGTGGAGAGTGGACGGCTGTGTTGGATTCATTCTCCCCACGTGTTGTGCAATTTTCAAGCACCCGCGGGCTGCGTGACAGGCAGTTGTGTGCTCGCACGCCCTCTTCGCGTGGTATTTGTGTCACCAGAGTCCCCTCATTGTTTAGCTTGTGCCCAGTGCCCCTGTACGTTGGCTCTCTCTCCACACAATACAGCAACAACCAACTAAACAGCAACTTCGATGCACGCAACCACCATGTCATGTCAAATGCTTCTCTCCCTCTCCTACACACACACACACACACACACACACACACGCGCGCGCGATGTAACGTTTGCGCTCTATTGGGGTCCAACACTCCAACCACCCATCATTAGGAGAAGAACAACAGCCAAGTAATGTAACGTGGGAGAGAAACACGCACGATCCATAAGCAGGTAGGCGACACAAAAGACAATACAAAACTTCGAGATATGGGAACGGCATCAGGTACAACAGTCGCACGCACACGCATACATGCTCGAGTGCTCCAGCACTGGCATGAGTGAGGACAAGTCACATCAGATCATCAGGACATCTGAACAGCAGCGCTATAGCGCTGTGGGCAAGGTGTAGTTCATGCACATGTGCCGCTCAAACAGAACGGCAACGAGTGTTGGGGGGATTCGTCTCGTGTGGGGTGAAATGCATGCGCTCTGAGAAGAGAAAAGTGTTTCAAAAGAAAGAAAGTGAGAGAAGATGATGCACACGGTAGGACAACCCATGTTGTCCATGCGCGCTGGTGAAGCAAAACAAGCAGCTCCTTCAGCGATCATATCCTCGTCGCCACCATCGCCACCAACTGCCAATCACCAGAATTGCATCTGTTCCAGTTGCCGCGCAATAACGTGGTCGTCGTCGTCATCATCGTCGTCGTCATCACCATGAACGTTGTTCACAAGGCCAAAGGGATCGTGGCGCCGTGCACCGACAAGCGGCTGGCGACGCAATCGTGCGGCCAAGCCATCACGCCCGCGCTGGGCTACACGACGATCGCCACCAACACCATCAGCCCTTGCACGTGCCACCGCTGCTGCCGGTGGCGGTGATGGCGAGCGTCGTCGTGGCCTGGACGAGATGACAAGTCCAAGGTCACGCGCATCCTTCTCGCAGGCAACTGTAACGGCTTCGCGCACTTCGGGCTCAAGCGTGGCCATGTACTCGTCCAGCAGGCGCTGACGTCGCTTTCTGTGGTGGTCGTTGAACTGCTGCTCTGTGCCGTGGTATCCACGTCCGCCATGGCGCGTGCCACACCTGGCAGCACATTGGTGCGCGTTCGTTCCGCAGTCCCTCAAGCACCACGCACAGAACCCGCACTTGCAGTTGTTGCAAGTGAGGGCAAAGCAGCCGTCAAAGTCAACAAAGGCCGTCTTGCAGCGAGGACAGCGGAGCGTGAGAATCTCCCCTGTAATATGCTTGCGTGCTTCCTCCTTCTTGCGCTCCTGCTGCGTCTGCTTCAGCCTTCGCTCCACCTCTTCTTCAATGCGCCTCCGCGAGTCAGCGTTGGCGTCCTTCTCTGCCAGTTCTCGGATGAGCTTGAACAGCTGCTCGCTCGTCTCCTCCCCCACGTGCTGGGCCACCTCCCGGAAGGTGAAGGCGGGGCTGTCGCAGTCGATACCGGGACAGCGGACCTCAGGGCCGTTTGCCAGCCGCTCCTCGTGTGTGGCGATGCTGTGCACGTACCCATCAAAGCACTCGTCACACATGAAATGGGGGTTGCGCTTGCACGTGATGCCGTCCACTCGCTGCTTGACGTCGAAGCAGATGCAGCACTCAAACTCCTCCTCGGCCAACTGCTTCTTGGCGGCCTCCACCTGCCTCAGCTCCGCGTTGGTGCGGGCCCTGTTGGTGCGAATCAAGTTCTGCAGGTGCTGCTGCCTGCGCCGTGCCTCGAGCAATACCTGCGCGCGCCTCTCCTCCACCTCCTGCCTGTGCTGCTCCCCCTGCGCTGCCAGCGTGGCCTCCAGCCCGCGAATGCGCTGCTGCTCTGCCCGCAGCTGTTCCTGCAGTCGCCGCTGCTCGTCGCGTGCGCGCTCGTCTGCCACTGTCCGCGCCCGTTCCTCCTCCTGCCGCAGCTGTTGCAGGCGCTTCGTCATTTCCCCTGTCAGCTGCACGCGCTTTCTCTGCGCCTGCTCCTCAAGGTCCTTCAGCTTGGCGTTCATGTCCTGAGTGGCCTTGAGCAGCTGCTCCTCGGCCTCGGCCGTTTCTTGCTGCATCTGCCGCCGTATCTGCTTCACGCTCTCCAGCATCTCGTTTTCCTTTTGCCTCCTCTCCGCTTCGTAGTCGCGCGTGTGGCGCGTTTGCTCCAGCTCGGCCAGCTGCCTCTCGTGCTCCACCATAATCTCCTCGTACATGAGCTTCATCTTGACGCGATTGTCAATCTCTTGCTTCTGTCGCTGCTCCTTGGCACGCTCCAACGATCGCTTAAGGTTTCCCTCGCGCACACAGAAGGAGCAGTACAACGAAGGGGTGTCGCTGGTGCTGACGCGCCGCTGCTGCGTCTCCAGTGGTTTGCGCATCTCCTCCACTGCCCGAAGCTGGTAGCACTTCACCTGCAGCACGTGCTTCTCGCTGTGGCACTTGACAAACTCCTCGTGGGTGCAGCGGATGTGGTCGTGGCTGCCGCTGTGGCACTTGAGCGGGCACGGGTGGCCGCATGCAAGCACAGACACGCACTGGCGCTCGCACCCGCCGTCCCTCGCGTGCAGGTCAAAATCCTGCGGCGTTCGCAGCACGTTGCGCACCTCCGCGTGCTGCTGGCAGCACACCGGCAGGCCGGCCGTGATGCAGCCCGCAGGAACAATGTCGATGAGCTTCTGCCACATGTCGCGGCCTTTTTCTGCCTTGGCGAAGTAGAAGGTGTCCAGGTTGCCAATGATGATCATGCCCAGCTTGGCACGTGACAGCATGACGTTGACCCGCTCCTTCTCCTTGAGGAAGCCAATGCTGCCTTGCTTGTTGCTGCGCACCAGGGACAGGATGATGATGTTCGACTCCTCCCCTTGGTAGTTGTCAATCGTGGCCACACGCACCGCCTTCGCCTTTGCCTGCTTCTGCTTCTTCAAATCCCCAACGTCATCATTACCCTTGCCATCATCATCAGCACCACCACCACCACCACCACCAGCATCACCGTTCTTCCGCTGCTGCTGCTGCCTGTCGTCGCCCGCCTTGTCCTTGGCGCCCTTTTTGCCGGCTGTGGCCGCCCGGTGCACGTGCTCGTGCCTGACGCTGGTGTCGAGGTCTGCGCCAGCTTGCCGCGCGTCCGCAATGTCGCGGTCGTCGATGGCCACGCCGACGTTGTGCGTCACGTCGGCCAGCGCCGTGCGAAGCTCAAGCAGCTGCCCAAGGTAGGGCGTGAGCACCACAATCTCACTGGGGTCGTACTGCTGCTGAATGAGGTAGCGCACGGTGGCGCGCACCATGCCCACCTCGTACGGGTTGCTGTGCGACTGGTGCTGCACCATCTTCGCCTGCGCCGCCGCTTCGAGCTCCTTGTGGTTGATGAAGACCAAATCGCCCTGCAGGCCGCGGATGTGCTCACGCCCTTCCACGCTGTGGTGGTCGCCGAGCACGCCAGGGTAGAACACCTCGCGCACGAGCCGGCTAAACTCGGGCCGCATGCGGTGCTGCACTTGGAGTTTGGCCACGGGCAGCGTGTCGGCCAGCCGCTCAAACATGGACACGTTGAGGTCAAACCCTTTGCCGGACTCGCGGGTGAGCGGGTAGTGGTCCACCTTGGGCCGCAGCTGCTTGTGGTCGCCAATGAGGATGAGGTGCTTGCAGTCGCGCGGGAGCGCAGTCAGGATGTGCGCCTCCAGCACCTCCCCGGCCTCCTCCGCCATCACCACGGGCATGCGCACGCGCTGCAGCAGCATGGCGTTCTGCGCCGCGCCCCACGTCGTGCACGCAATGACATCGGCGTTGGCCAGCTTCTTCTCCTGCCCGCACGCACGCAGCGCGTCAATCTCGGCCGTGATGGTGCGGATGCGTCGAAGTTTGCGCGCCAACTCCTCGCGCTGCGGGGCCCGGATCTCCTCCTCCCACTCGCCAAACTTGGCTCGCCGCTCCTTCTTTGACAACGCCCACAGCGGGTCGCCTGCCCTGTACTGGGCAAACACGCCTGCGTCCTTGCCCTCGTACCACCGCTCAAAGAGATACTCGAGCCCCACGGCCTTGCCGTCTTTCCCGACCACCTGAAACCCATCGCCCTCCGCCTCGTGTCGGTTGCGCCGCCGGTGCTGTTGCTGCTGTTGCCGCAGCAGTGGTTCGGCGGCATGTGGAGGCAGCGACAGGCTTGTGCACATGTCTGGGTGCTCGTCTTCGAGGTGCCGCCTCAGCGTCGACCACCACTTGACGCCCATCTTCATCTTCAGTGCGTTGTCGAGCCGTTGAACGTCCTTCTCAAGTTGGGTGCGCTCGTCCTTGAGCTCGTGGTACCGCGATGCCTGGTCACGCGTCCAGTCGGACTTGCCCATCTCCAAGCGGTATGGCTCCAGTGCCTCCTCCTTGCAGTGCCCGCCAATGCGCACCACGTTCTTGGTGACGTGTTCGATGAGCTCCATCAGAAACTGGTCGAGGGCGTGGTTGGTGTAGCAGCACAGCAGGATGCGCTGTCTGCACGTGCGCACCAGCAGCTTGGCCAGCGCCACGCCAATAAAGGTCTTGCCTGTGCCTGGCGGGCCCTGGATGAGCGCAACGCGGTTGCTCATGCCGTGCATGAGCGCTTCACGCTGGCTCGGGTTGAGTGTGAGCTCCTCCGCCAGTGCAGCTGCCTCGACCTGCACGTCGTCGCGCCAGTACTCCGGTGCGCGCTCGCCCTCTGGCGGCTGGCCGCCAAGCAGCTCTTCCTTGAAGGGGAGCTGGTGCAGGTCCTGCAAACGCTGCAGAATGGGGCGGAAGGCGAAGAAGTTTGGCGCGACCATGACCATGGTGTACCCGTGGTAGCGCGTGGTCCTCTGCTTGATGACATCGTCGAGATGGCCCGGCTCCAGCATGCGCAGGCCGACGGTTTGGTCGTTGAGCAGTGTCTTTGGGTCGCGCTGCATCACCTCTGCCAGCATGGCGGGCTCGCCGTTCTGCAGCAGCAGCACCAGCGAGCCACGCTTGAGCAGGGACGTGCGCTCCCAGAACATTGCCTTGTCGCTCTTCTTGCGCTTGTGGTACGGGTGGTTGTGATGCAGCTCAAAGGTAAACGTCATCTCTGCGCCGTACTTGGCGTTGGCGCCAACGGGACCAACCTTGAACAGGGTGCGGAACGCCTCCTTGCCGCTGGCCCTGGTGACAGCGGCGTCCTGTAGCCGTTCGCGAATGGGCCCAAGCAGCGCCTCGCGCAGGAGTCGGAACTGGCCGTTGAGCACGGCCTCCAGGCTGTCGGTGAAGGGCGGGCGGGGCAGGTGCGCTGGCGGTGCTTGGCCAATATCGTTGACAGTTGGGGTGACGCTGATGTCGCGGAAGGGCACGAGGGCGTCAGAGTCCGGGTCGAAGGCGGCGAGGTGCAGCTGGTCTGGGGGCAGGGCGTTGTTGCCGTTGCCGTTGCCGTTGCCGTTGGTGGCCAGGTGCCCGCGCAGCACCTCTGCAAACGGAACTTCTCTGGCGCAGAGGGTATCCACAAGGTCCTTGAGGTCCTGGCGCTCGAGGATCTCGTCGCGCTTGTTGTTGCGGCGGGCGGCACCGGCGAGCTCGGTGAGGAACCAGCCCAGGAAGGAGACGTGGGTGTCTGGCGCAGCGCCAAGCTTGAGGTATTTGGTGAAGTGCGGGAAGAGGTTTGGTGCTTCCATGAGGGCCAGGAAGATGGTGTCGCGCTGGTTTTGCATGGAGGGCAGGTCGCAGTCGCCCTCGGCAAAGATCTCCAGCGCCGGGATGAGGTACTGGCGAAGGTACGCGTTGACGTTGTTGGTTGGTCCAAGGAAGAGCGTGAGGCGGTTGAGCATGTCTGTGGACTCCAGGGAATACATCAGGTGGATGCGGTCGTTGTGCTCTCTCACGTTCTCCAGGAACCTCTCGCAGTCGCGGTGGCTCTTGATCGTGGCGCTTCCGTCTTTTTTCTTGATGGCATCAAAGTAGCGGCGCCTGGGGTCGTCTTCGCGCCTGTTCCGGCGCCCACTACCGCCACGGCCACGACCACGACCACCACCTCGACCACGCTCGCCACCACGACCACCGCGGCTGCCACCACGACCACGCCCGCGTCCTCGTGGGTGATGTTGTGCAGAGCCAGGGCGGCTGCCATCACCACCACCACCACGTTGACGAAACGACATGCTCGTGCTTGGGTGGGGTGTGTAGGTGTGTGTCTGTGTGTGTATTGGATGTATGTGTGCGTGTGTGTGTGTGTATTGGGTGTGAGGTTGTGTCTGCGAGAGTGTGCTGGGAAAAGTGAGCACAAGAAGTCGCACAAGAAGAAGCAAACAAATCAAAACAAAGCAAAGAAGCCGCAGAAGTTTGCGGACAAGAGGGGTGGCTGTCAGTGCCAGTGGTGGAACTGACTCACGTGATTTTGCTGACGTCAGCAAGACCCAAGAACCAAGAAGGAAGGAGGACAGCAAAACAACACAACAAAAAGAACAAACCAATCTTCTTCGCTGCTCATTCCACCTCACTCTGACGTGGATTGGATGTTCGATCGCTTGGCTGCAACTCACCAACTCACCAGCTCACCACACCACAGACAGTCTCCAACTGCACCAGGATGAGGCATCAGCAGGAGTTTGGTGTGGTTGTGGCGCTGCTGGTCTTGGGTGTGGCAGTTGGCCTGGTGTGGGGCGCGGGGACCGCCGTGATCAAGCAGGATGAAGCTGGAGACTTGCATGTGAACACGTCCAACCCCACACAGCGCGTGCTCCTCAACGGCCTGGACGTGCAGGCTGAGTTGAGCGAGATGAAACAGTACCTGAGCATGACCCGCCAGCTCTGGCGGGCATTCTGCAGCGCCCACTCGCACTACCACATCATGGACACAACCAGCATGGGCAGCGTCAGCCTCAACATCTACCAAGGGGCTGACACACCTGCCTGGTGGAGCGCTGTGTGCACGCCCAACGGCAAGATCTACGGCGTCCCGGCTTCGTCCACCTCCGTGCTGATCATTGATGTCAACACCCTCACAGCAGACACCTCCTCCATCACCGGACTCCCTCACACAGCGCGCAAGTGGGCGGGCGGGGCACTGGCTGCTGACGGCCTCATCTACTGTGTGCCGCAGGACGAAGACTCAGTCCTCATCATCGACCCGTCAACAAACACCGTCGATATGACTTCTATCGTCGGTTTAGGAACCGGTGGTGACAAGTGGGAGGGCGCCGTGCTCGCGCCCAACGGCAAGATCTACGGCATTCCCGACCGCTCCGACGCGGTCCTCATTATTGACCCGGCAACGCGAACAGCGGATATCACCACCATGGTGGTTGCCCCTGAAGACAACAAGTGGTTTGGAGGTGTACTGGCCCTCAATGGCAAAATTTATGCCGCGCCCGGACGCGCATCATCCGTGCTCATCATTGACCCAGCCACAAACACCGTCGACACCACCTCCATTGCAACTACTGGCTTTGGGAGTGGCGACAAATGGGCTGACATTGTGCTTGTAGGCAATGGAAAGTTGTACGCTGTGCCCGTTTCTGCTGATGCTGTGCTTGTTATCGATCCTGAGACGAACGATGCTGATGCCGTCAATATTGACAACCTGGGCGAAACCAGCGCATGGTTTACGGCCGTTGCGGGCAATGATGGTCTTGTGTATGGAATCCCCCTTGAAGGCGTCTCCAACTTCCTTTTGTTTGACACCAACACCAACTCCTCCGACGCCACGTCTGTGGCGCTTGACAGCACTGACTTCGAGTTGAGTGGCGCGGCCGCAGCCCCCGATGGCCGCATCTTTGCCCTCCCCAGTTCATCGACGACCTCCCCTCCCATCTCCTCCGTCCTCGTTCTCGAGCGCATCTGCTGATGCGCGCCGGCATTGTTTTTGCTTGTGTGTGTGTGTGTGTGTGTGTGTGTGTGTGTGTGTGTGTGTGTGTGTGTGTGTGCGCAGCGTGTTGGCGTCTTCTTCGTTTACGCCTTTGATTACCAACCCATCGTTTCTGCTTGCATACGTGCAGCGTGGGTGTTCACTTAGAAAACCTCACAGAACCAAACCTGCTGCCTGCTTTCTCTTTCTTTTTTGCTTGTGTTACACGGCGTCAAGTAAGCGCGCCTCTTGCCACCTTTCTCATCCGTCATTTGACACGTTGTTTGGTGGCTGTTCGTTTACAATAACTCCGGTCCCCCTCCGTTACGTTCCAACATCACATGAATGGCATCAATACATGACTTGCGTTGACAACCGCTCAACCAAACACATGATACGTGCGGTGAAGGGACGAGGCAGGATAACGAGCGCAAGCAGCATCACAATAAACACAAACACCCACTTGCATGCGTCGTCCTGTCGTCCACCTTGCCATGGCTCCACTTCTACCATCCACGAAAGTTGCGCAAGGCAGCGTCGGGCGACTGCCCTGTGTGATGTGTGATAAGTGATGTGTGATGATTGTAGGATACACAGTCAGTTGTGTCTTGTGCGAGGTTGCAAGCAGTGCCGACATGCGCTTTTGAGACATACGGACAAACGCCCACTCACGGACACACAGACTACAACACAAACCACACTCGAACACGCGCACAAGCATGCAGCAGCACCACCACGTGTCTCTAGAGTCCTGTCACCTTGACGAAAGGCCTGCAGTGTGGCGGAGGCGGATGGGGCAGCCACAGTTGTGTGGGGCCGCTTTGTGCTCGGTTCATCGCCATGTTTCCCTTGGTCCTGCTTCTCTTCCAACTGCAAGGGCTTCTTGGTGGACATGGCAAAGTGCAGTCGCTGCACAGGGGCAGAGGAAAGGGGGTAAGTGCATGGCAACGACACCGACAACAACAACAACAACAACAACAACAACAACAACAACAACAACAACAACAACAACAACAACAACAACAACAGAAGAAGAACAAGAAGAAGAAGAACAAGAAGAAGAAGAAGAAGAAGAACAAGAAGAAGAAGAACAAGAAGAAGAAGAAGAAGAAGAAGAAGAAGAAGAAGAAGAAGAAGAAGAAGAACGAACGAACGCGAAAGGAACTGGATGTGAGCACACGTGGCAAAACGTACGAACGCGCATGTGCATGTGTGTGTGTGTATGGCTCGCAACATTAGCACAGATCCACAGCTGTGTGACGAAAACACGCACGAACTAGTCCAGCTCAAGCAAGGGTAACAAGCACTGACCGATGACATTTGTGCAGACTGCCATTGTGTGAAGGAGATGTTCAACCCAGCGGCACGCCAGTCGTCATATTGCTTGCTGATTGGGAGGAGCATGAGAGTCACAACAACGTGAACCAACATCGGCCAACTACATGGGCATGGAGCACGCACCCACGTCACTCCACCCCTGCACAGTCAACACAACACAGTCACAGTCAACACAACACAGTCACACAGTCACACAGTAAACGCAAATACACACACACACAGCACAGTCGCACAGTCACACAGTAAACGCAAAAATATACACACACACACATCGCGCATTCACGTCCAACTCACCGAAGGGATGGGTCGGAGAGAATGCAATACGCCCGCGATAGGCGTGTGAAGGATATAGGTACGTGTGTGCCCCGCTCGGTCGTGTCATGAACTGCTTTTGATTCCGAGGCAGGCGGTGGCCGAGCGACATTTGGATTGGAGGTTTCCGCTCCTTGCGTCGTTTCAAGGGTGGCGGGCACTTGTCTGTCTGGATGGTGCTTCTTCGCCAGCAGCATGAACTCTGTCTTGATTTGCTCTGGCTACAAATGGCACGAACCAAACCACGTTCATCAACCAAAAGGCAAGGTGAGGCTGGGAGGACGGCAGCGTGGTTGCACTGCAGGAGAATGTGCGTGTCTGTGCATGCGCATGCGCATGAAAGTGGATGGCAGAGAGACCGGCTATGAACCCTACACGGAAGCTCCTTTTGTGGTCTATGTATTCCACACAGTGCTGAGGGCTCTGAGAACTGCAATGGGTGGTGCCACATGCTCACACCACCATTTCCACCAGCGCACCGAGGCGTGTTGGGAGCAGTTCAGCAACGCGTACAAGTCCTTGTCGTCTGCAGCCTCTTGTGCGGCGATGGTCTTCGCATCACCGTCATCACCACCGCTACCACTGCTACCACCACTCTTCTGACTTTGGCCGCTGTGTTCTTTGTGTCCGCCTTCCTCCTTGCCAGCACTGCTGTTCGAAAGGTCGGCTGCTGTCGCTGTCGCGGAGGGCGCTGCTTCGTGGTCACGGTGGTCTGCCATCATCGTCGTCTGGTCCTGTTGTTTGCTGAAAATTTATGAAAAACATGCTATAATTTTCCGTAACCGAGGCGAACAACGGAACAAGATGGATGCAGCAAGACAGCGGCTGCTTGCTCCTGGTGGTGGTGCTCGCAGTGGCGGTCGTGGTGGTCGACGACAGAGACGCGACAAGCACGCTGCCAGCCAGGGCCTTGCACAAGATGCAACAGATATGGCGTCGACGCTTTCATTCTTCCTGAACGCGCAGCGCGCCATGTGCGTTTCTGTGTATCTGTGTGAATGTGTGAGAGTGTGTTTGTCTGCGTATGTCTGTGCTTGTGAGTATGTGCGTGTGTCTGTGTAAGTGTGTGAATGAGTGCGTGTGTGAATGAGTGCGTGTGTGTGTGAGCTTCTGTGTGTGTGTGAGCTTCTGTGCGTGTGCGTGTGTGTGTGTATGTGTGTGTGTGTGTGTGCTAGTGCTTGCACATTGTATCTGTGTTTGTGTTTGCGCTTCCATGTTTTTATCTTTGGTTTCTGCGTCGTTGTGATGATTGACGTGTGCTTCAATTTGGTCACGGTCCTGCCGTGCTGAGTCAAAGCTACCATGTATGTTGATTCCTAATCTTGGTTGTGCGTGATGCCCTGGCAGGCATGAGGACAGCAGTGACGATCACCTTGAAGAAGAGATGATGGTGAGCTTGTCGAAACGAGGCGAGTACACCAGCAAGAAGTACCCAAACACACACCCGCTCGTCGTACAGGCTGCGGTAGAACACGCTCGTGCCCTTCAAGCGCATGGAACCCCTCTTGCCGAGCTGTGGAGGTCAGACAACTTCAACTCTGCTGGCCAACTCAACCGCGCCCGCTTCATGCAGCGGCTCCGCACAACGGTTTCAGCGTCCGCATCGTCAGAGCGCCGATTCGTGCCCACCTTTGAGCACGTTGCCTCGGACTCTGGCAACTCCAGCGCCCTCCGCCTCCTCGCCAGCTTTGCCCTCGTCGAGGTGTGTGTGTGTGTGTGTGTTTGTGTGCATGAAACCCACGTTGTTCGTCTTGTATCTTCGAGTCGCCATTTCTTCTCACGTCTGCCGCGTTTCAGATGACAACTGAGCGCGCAAAACTCCTTGGCGTCGCAGCGCTCGGGTGCGTGTTTATGCAAGTGCCATAGCGAGAGTGAGAGTGTCACAGTGGGAGTGAGGGAGTGTGACTTGCAATACAACTTCCATTGGTCACGTCTGCCACTGCTGCTTTGTTTCTGGACGCGGGCACATTCGCTCACACACACACACACACACACACACACACACACACACACACACACACACACACACACACACACACACACACACACACACACACACCTCCGCGCATGGCCCTTGCCCGCATTTTGCTCGCTACACCACGTCACTCACGATTGATTCAATCCTTTTCGCTCCACAGCCGGCTGCCAACGGCAATGACGTGTTTCAACCGCCTCGTCCTTCCCGCGTACCCGACAGAAGAGCTGCTGAGACAGCGGTGAGCCCGTGTGCGTGCGTATGTGTGTGTGTTTGTCTTCGTCTGTGTGTGTGTGTGCGTGTGTCTTCGTCTGTGTGCGACTTTTGTTCTTTCCGCGCAACTCGTTCTTCATCCTTTGAACACTCACTCGCCCGATCCTCTCTCTTTCATCTACAAGCGTTCAAACGGCCATCGACAACGCGCAAGGATTTGGCCTTGTGTGACGCCACCATGACAACAACATTACCGTTGTTCCAGGGTTGCATGTTTTTGTCACCAACTCGCTTACTTCCTGCACTGCCTCGCCACATGCACGTTTTGCGTGTATGAACAAGAGGGGTGTCATTATGTTATGCACAGAGCGCTTTGACGAGTAACCGTAACCGAAGAAAAGGAAATGAATGAATCAAACAGCACAGGTAACGCAGATAAACAAACTGCAAGGTGAATGAACGAGCGAAGAAGAATTACAATGCAATCGCTTAGGTCAAATCACCCACAACAACGATGCTTTGTGAGCACATTCAACCCTCACATACAAAATAACAACAAAACGCAAAGCAGTCACAACACCCTTCCTGAATCAAGCAAGGCACATGAACACATGGCACCGCTGTCTGTGGTCAACATATCTCCGTCTGCAAGCACCACTGTGCACGCACCACCATCTCATCAGCAGTAACAGCTCCAATCACACAAACAAACAGCGAAAGGGAGCATTCCGCCGCAAGGTCACCTCTGCAACAACAACACACGTCGTCTATCTCTTTGCCCTCTTCTTTGGATGGTCACCTTCCGCACCACCTCCCACATCGTTCCCTTCCTCCTTGATGTCATCACCATCACCATGTTCACCATCCGTTTGCATGTTGGTGCCGGTGTTGTCAGCGGCGCTGTTGTTGCTGTTGTTGCTGTTGTTGGCGCTGCTCTCTTCCTTGATAACAAGCACCAAATCGTTGCCCTCCCCTTCCTTCTTCACCACCGTGGCTGCAGCCGGGATCGTGTCGGCAGGCAATGGGTTCTCGGAGGGCGTTGGCGGCTCTGTCTTCACATTTGCATCCGGCTGCGACTGTGACGATGCCCCAGATACGCTTCTTCCTCCTCGGCTGTTGGCGCTGCTGTCTGGGTCCGGCTCTTCAGCCTTCACGCCACCCGCACGTGTCTCCGATGCAGCCGTGTTAGCAGTGGTGGAATGGCTGCCCTGCCCAGCATCATCGCGCGTGGTGCGGTCTGACGTGCCAACGGCCACCTCCGACAGCATGTCTGCGTCGACGCCGTCAGGGTCATACACATCCACAGAGCAGTTTGCAGGATGGAAGGACGGGTCAAGCCCGCTGGCATCATCGTCATCATCATCACCGGCGTGTCCAGGGTAACTGCCGTGGCTGCCACTAGCGCTGCCCCGGGCACCGCCTGTTCGCCTGCGCGCCCGTCGTCGGCGACCGCCACCGCTGCGGCGCTGAGGCGAGCCACCCCGGCTGCAGCATGCACCCGTGCGCTGGTGTGCAGGATGGTCGAAGCCTTTGTCCTGCGGGGGCGCCTCGGGCCACCGCGACTCCAACGTCACGTCTTTGTTGAGTAACACGTACAGCAGGCAGACGGTGGAGAAGGCCGCGTGCCGGATTGAGTTGAACTGCATGCGCTCTGCCTTGAAGAAACTGGACAAACGGTAATTGTCATGAGCGCGCGCGTGTGTGTGCGTGCGTGCGTGCGTGCGTGTGTGTGTGTGTGTGTGTGTGTGTGTGTGTGTGTGTGTGTGTGTGTGTGTGTGTGTGTGTGTGTGTGTGTGTGTGTGTGTGTGTGTGTGTGGGTGGGTGGGTGGAAATGTGTAGCTTCATCAAAACGGCGCAGATGATACGACCCAATAAACGATTGCGAGTGAGTACTTTGTACCTGGAGACGGAGTGATCTTCGCCCGTGACAGCAATCTGCTTGTCCGCGTCGGGGTCGGGCGTGAACGGCCGACCAAAGTGCATCAACTGACGACGCACAGCAAAGACCGATGGTGACAATCGTGGGGTTGGTGAGCAGCAGCGAATATGATTCGCACAATCACACACTCACACAATTACACAAAACCCTCAAAACCATGCACAGGCTCACACACACACACACACACACACACACACACACGCGCGCACACACCTCGACGACGAGGAAGTCCTTGCAGCTGCGTTGCATGACGGCCTTGAGCCTGTCCGTGAGCGTGGGGATGGGCTTGAGACGATGGCGGGGCCTGCGCGGTTTCGCAGACAGCGACACCTTGGCTGCAGCAAACCGCCGGTCAGCCATCGACCGCTTCGCAGCAGACAGCGTTTGCTGTGGTGGTGCGACATGCAAGCACAATGGCGTGTGAGTGTGGTCGCTTGCGAATACTTGTGCGCGCGCGCGCGTGTGTGTGCGTTTGTTTGCGTACGAGTGCGTGTGTTTGTTTGTTTGCGTACGAGTGCGTGTGTTTTGTGTGTTTGGTTTGTTGGTTGTCAGAGAAAGGGGAGGAGGATAACACATGCAAGAGCTTTCTGCGTACATAGGTGTTGTATCTGTCGACAGCTGCCTGATGCTTGGAGTCCTCAATCACCTCCATCACCGCCCGCTTCAGCTGATCGCGCTCCTCAAACCTGCCAGCGCGACCACAGACAAGCAAACCACGGGCATGGGGACATCAGGCCAGCAGTGAGCGACGTTAACGCGTGGACAACAGTGGAAATTATTCCACGACGCACTGTACAATACAGGCGCACTGTGCACGAGCAGCAAAGATACGCACTTGATAATGTCCTCCAGGATGTCGGGCCAGTTGTCGCCTTCAAAGTACGGCAGCTGTCGCAAGCGCAAGTGTGTGGGTGAGAACATACACAGACGCTGTATGAGCGGGAGAGGGAAGGAAGCTTTGTGCTTTGCCAGCACCAGCACACGACAACTCGCGCACACTCCCTCACACACTACAACACACACGTACACAAGACAACACACACGAAGGACGAAGGTCGCACCTGAGTGAAGCATGGGTCTGGGTATGCGTCTGCGATGTTGACAAAGTTGAGGACGGCTGGATCTGGACGGAACATTGCATCGCCGAGCAGCTCGTCGTACCTGTAGTGGGCATTGCCGTGCGCATGTGCGTGTGCATGTGTGCGTGTGCGCGCGTGAATGCGTGTGCGTGTGTGCGCATGAATGCGTGGATGCGTGTGCGTGTGAATGGGTACGCGTGTGAGAAAGTGTATGCATTGTGTGTCTCGTGAACCACAGCACGGTTGCTCAACGAAAAAACTTAACCCCTTTCCCCTTCCATGCTCTCTTGTCAGTGCCACTGGTGCGCCCACCATGCTCGCAGGCGGGTGACGCTGATCTCGCGCTGGTCTGCGGGCTTAAATGGGAAGATGTAGTTTTGGCCCTTGCGCGGCGGGCAGGTGAAGATGTGACAGAAGCGAAACCCGCGCTGAGCACAGTGCCGCAGATACCTGGCACAACGAACAGCCACAAACAATGACGTGAATGTGAATATGGCTGTGTGTCTGCGTGCATATCTGTGTGTATGTGTGCGTGCGTGTGTGTGTGTATACATGTGCGTGTGTATACATGTGCGTGTGTGTGTGTGTGTATGTGTGTGTGTGTGTGTGTGGCAAGGGCGTGTCACAAATGCTCGCACAACGGCAGAGACAAATACACGCCCACACAAACTTGCAAAAAGGTACATACAAAAGTTGCACATTTGGCCTCACCCGCGCACGAGGCTGTGATAGATGCCGGTGCGCATGTCGCTGGGGAGAATGTGCTTGGGCATCTTGACGGAATCCAATAACGATATGTACACGCGCTGAAAAAGCAAGGTTGGAGGTGGGGGGGGGGGGGAGATGACGTCAAACGGAGGGGTTAATGAATATACACATGTGTGATTGTGTGAGTGTGTGTGTGTGTGTGTGTGTGTGTGTGTGTGTGTGAGTGTGTGTGAGTGTGTGTGAGTGTGTGTGTGTGTGTGAGTGTGTGTGAGTGTGTGTGTGCGTCTCAGCGGCTGTAAGAAAGGCAGCTGCTGGTGGTGGTGGTGGTGGCAGAGTGGCGAGCATGCAACTTACGAGAGTGTTGGGCTGTGGACACTTGTCATCACATTCGTAAACGATAAACCTGTAGGCCCGGAAAGCAAATGTGCGACGAAGCGTGTGTCCATGCATGCGAACGTTTGAGTTGACGGCAGCAGAGCATCTGTGCCCTTCGTGTTCCACCAAATTGCAACGTCAACAACAAAGGAGGAATCACACCATCACCGGCGCCAGAAGCATGCGCTGAAGCGAGCGCTGTGCGTGTGCATGAAATGTAGGTGACGAACCCGTAGAAGCAGACGTCAAACTGGCCCATGTCGAGAAAGGCGAGGACAACTTTGCGGTGATACGGGAACTTGGTTGGGTGTTGCGGGTACCTGTGTTGGTGGTGGCGTTGACGACAGCACAGGAGGGCACATGCGCGGTCAGAACGCAACAAGCAGGTTGATATTGTTGTGCAAGGACAGCCGCACACACAAAGGCACCCGGCGATGCAGCACAGCGCACGTGTTCCCAAGCACAGTAAGTTGACGGACTCACATAAAACATCCCAACGCATCAGACACACAAAACACCAAAAAACCAAACACACTCATCACGCACCCATCAACCACCCACTCACGAACTGACGCCACACGAAACGCACCTTCGCCTGATGTTTGGTTTTGTTTCGCATGTCTCGAGGGAGTGGTTGACTGATCGCACAACGACGTTGTTGTGGTACTCGGGCGGCACGGCGCCCCGCAGCTCACGGGCAATGTTGTCTGCCATGGCGGTGGATGGCAGATCGCGTGCGCGCCAACGGACCGTCGGGTGGGACGGAAGCCCTTGCCGCGCCCGGCACAGCAGGCAGATGTGCTGCTCGTGCGTGTATGACACGTACAGCACGCACACCTCGTGCTCTTCCCGCCCGCACTGCGAACACGCCACATACTGCAGCGAGGCAGCGAGGCAACGGAGAGCACATGCGTGAGCTCTGGGAAAGTGGAAGACTTGGCAAAACAACACTCAAACACGGCATGATCAAGAAATAACCGCACACGCCACAACACAAAGACGCACGTGCACACGCGTGTGCATGCGTGTCGGGCTTGCCCATGGAAGGCGTACCTTCTCTGGGAGGAGGGGTGGTTTGTGTTTTGTCTTGGTAAACGCCGCCTTCTTCAAGCAGAGCTCGCCACCGGTGCCGTTGCCATATCGCGGGATGCGAAACTCATCCTGCAGCTTGGCAAAGTGCGACTGCACACAGCACAGTGTGTGTGTGTGTGTGTGTGTGTGTGTGTGTGTGTGTGTGATGGAATTTCATGATTGCGTCATGGCGTGAATGAGGAGTGTGGACATGTGACTGGTGTGTGCATAAAGGACAAACTGTGCTCAGCGTGGCAGAGAACGCTTTCACCACACACACACACACACACACACATACGCACACACACACGCACACGCACACGCACACGCACACGCACACATACGCACACACCAGCGTCCACCAGACCACACACCGTGCAGTAGATGATCTGTTCGTCGCTGGTGAGGTCGTAGTACCAGTAGTGGGAGCCCCACTGCACAAAGCACGGGCCAGCCCGGCAGCGAAACACCTCCGGGGCAAGGTGACGAAGCTGTCCGCAGCAGTAGCGGTGCGACGCTGATCATCATCGTCATCATCAAGATGCCAGATGGCATGGGGGTAGGGTGGCAAGAGGCAGCGTAGGGTAAGGTGACGCAACGTGAAGAACGGGTGATGGCAACGACAAGAACACGATCGTTGGAATCAGGCGTGAATACAAGAAATGCAGCAGAAGAGCACACACGCGCGCGCACATGTTCACACACAACACAACACATCGCGACCGCAAAAAAAAAAAAAAAGCCAAAAACGCAACGTACAAAGGTCCTCGGTGATGGTTGCGCTTGCTCTCGGGATCCACCACGCCTTCATACTCTGCGCATAGCGGTTGTGGAAGCTCCCGGGCTTGTTGTAGGTGAGGGCGTTCTCAAACATGAGGTGCATGTCGCGCAGGTATTCCCACACGGTGGTGTACGCCTGGGACTGCAGCTTGGTCTGGATGGAAGCAAGGTCAATCGGGTCCTTGATCACCTGCACGCAGATCAAACAAACATCATGCGACAATTCAGGGTGTGTTTGGGGGGGGACAAAGTGTGGTGAGCAGCCCGAACAATCGCGTGTCAAGCGTGCGCAACGCTGCCGACAACGTGACGTGATGCTGTTCACGAACAAACGCACGTGCTGAATTGATGGCAGCATATCAAAGCACGACGCCACGACGCCACCACGGCACCACGGCACAAAGCGTATATTCACGCCACACGACGCCACCACAGCACAACATACGTCGTAGTAGCCTGGGGCGATGCGCGGGTCGACGGGTTGGAGGAAGACCTTGCTGTTCTCCTCATCGTACTTGCGTGTCGTGTCGTGTAACCGCTGTAAGGCCTCATGCAGCTCCTTGAGCTCCTGCTCGCGGTCTGCGGGCGGCGCTCCCAGCACCGTTGTCCGATACAGCGGCGCATCCACAGGGTGGTCGGCGTACTCGTCACGGGCAGCAGCGCCGCCAGCACCGGCGGCAGTGGCAGTGCCGGGGGATTTGGCGGCTGCGTCCTCGCCTGCGCTGAGAAGGAACTGTGCGCGGCGCATGGGGCTGGTGCTGGGCGAGAACGTCGCGCCTGCAGACGTGCGCAGCGACGATGACATGCTGGAGCGCCGGCTGCCCACGCCGGCAGCGGAGGGGGACCCTGGCACGGGCGGCAAGCCCTCGGCAAGGAGGGAGGATGCGGCGGTGGCCGACGACGAGGATGAGGCACGTGACAAGCGGCGCGTCGAGCGGCGGGTGCGGATCGATGACGCCGGTGTTGCTGCGCTTGACCGCGTGACGGGTGTGCTCGGCGCGGTTGCCGTCTTGGTCGACTTTGACGGCGTTGCTGTCGTCGATGACGAAGAAGCTGTTGTGGCCGATGCTGCTGATGTTGCTGTTGTGGTTTTCTTTCTGGGGCGGCCACCCTTGTTTCCTCCTCTGCCTTTACCGCGGGCACGGCCGCGGCCCCGTGTTCTGCTGCTACGGGCCTTGGTGCGACCACGTGTGCGGCTGCCACGCCCACTTCTGCTCCGCGGCGATGGTGTCGCAGCAGGGTCAGCTGGAGATGCATCTACGGGCGAGTGTGCCGTGGTTGCATCTGTTGCGTGTGGGTGGGGTTGGGCCGCGCCATCTGCGGACTGTGCAGCGGAGCTGGAAGCGAAACCGTACTCGTGTTGCGAAGGCGGAAGCAGTTGTTGTTGTTGTTGTTGTTGTTGTTGTTGTTGTTGTTGTTGTTGTTGTTGTTGTTGTTGTTGTTGTTGTTGGTGTTGTTGTTGTTGTTGTTGTTGTTGTTGGTGTTGTTGTTGTTGTTGTTGTGATTTGAGGGGGTAGTGTGGGGTGCCGAGGTTGTTGGAGTGGGAGGCTGCAGTGGGTGCTGCGGGTGCCGTGTGGTTGGTGCTGCTGCTGGAGCGCGCGGCAGCGGCAGCCCTGGTTGCTGGCGCCTTGCCACCTCCACCATAGAGGGGCTCTGCCCCAGCAGATGCTGGTGCTGCTACATGGTGAGCAGTGGATGTTGCTGCTATCTGGGATGCATGTGGAGCTGGAATGGTGGGGTGTGATGTGTTGTGACTGGTGGCTGTGGCTGGGCGGGCGCCGGATGATGTGGCTGGGGTGATCGCGGGGTGTGGGTGTGCCGGATCGTGGGAAGGGGCGCCGGTTGTGTTCCCAATCTTGACCGTCGTGCTGAGTGGGCCCGGCTTTGGCCTCTGCTTCTGCTGCTGGAAGAGCGGAGGCGGTAGCGATGGCGGTGGCTGAGGCTGTGGTTGCAGCTGTGCTGGTTGAGGCTGTGGGGCTGATTGTGCTGGTGGTTGGGGATCTGAATGTGGGGGCTTGCTGTTGCTGTTGCTGTTGCTGTTGCTGTTGCTGTTGCTGTTGCTGGTGCTACTGCTGCTCGGGCCTGCTTCGTGGCGCGCGCTCATTCCAACGCGCGGCTTCGTTGCACTGGCCGCCAAGGACTCTCGCGCACATGCGCATGCAACAATGACGGTGGTCTTGTGTGTGGTCGTCAATGTGTGTGTGTGTGTGAATGTGTGTGCGTGTGTGTGAATGTGTGTGAGAGCATCACACTTGCACAAGAAGACAGAGAGAGAGAGAGAGAGACAGCACCCACGTCACGAGGAAGACTGCAAAGAGGAGCTCCTCCTCCTCCTACTGCTCGTCCTCCTCCTCTTGCTCTCCAAAAAAAAAAAAAAAAAGTGAAGTTTGTGTGTATGCGGAGGTGGTGGGTCGCGCTTGGGGATTCGCGCTGGCGACCGTAAGCGCGCCAGCACAACCCAGCAAAAGCGACACTCAAAAATAGGCGGGAAAAAAACCAACAAGGCCGAAACAACAAACCTGCGCAACGCAACAGAGTAGGCAATGCCATGCGAAGCAAGTCGACAAACCTTTGTGGGGGTGACTTGCGCGTCCTTGAGGGTGGTAATGGAACAGACACAGGCACACCAAAGGGGGGGGGAGGAATGAAGGCAAGAAGAAGGCAAGAAGAACGATGGATGGACGACGATGATGAATCTGTTCGTTCGGTTGCCTGCACGCTCACACACAAACCAAGCAGGGAGAATGCAGAGTTGTTGCTGCGTTGTCGTCGGCGGTTGTTTGATGGAAGGAAGCATGAGAAAACTAGGAGACATCTTTCACAAATCACCGTTTGTTCGGAAACGGGGTTTCCCACATATCTTCTACGAAATTTCATTACTTTTCATCGTGTCGGGTGCCAGCATTTAGCCGCGAACTCCACCACTTTGGTTTGTTTGTGTTTGCAGTGTTGTGCGTGTGTGTGTGTGGGTTGGTTGAGCATGCGTGGAGGAGGTGTTGGTGTTGTGGCTGCGGCTGCAGTGCTGGTGGTGGCTGTTGGGATCTGTGTTGTGGACCCACAGCATGTGGCTGCACAACCCCTCGTCGTGAACACAACCACATCGCGGCTCGTTGACAGCCACGGCCGCGAGCGCATCTTCCATGGTGAGTGTGTGTGTGTGTTGGTGTGTGAGTGTGTGTTGGTGTGTGTGTGTGTGTGGTGTGTGTGGTGGTGTGTGGTGGGTGTGTAGATGTGTGTGTGTGTGTGTGTGTGTGTGTGTGTGTGTATCTTTAGGGCCCCGTAAAGCCGCATGGTGAAGCTCATATGCATGGGTGGCATTCTGACGGCGAGCGGAGCGTCCCTTAGGTGTGTGTGTGTGTGTGTGTGTGTGTGGTGTGTGTGTGGTGTGTGTGGTGTGTGATGTGTGTGTGTGTGTGTGTGTGTGTGTGTGTGTGTAGGTTGCTGTGTGCGGGAGTGTGTCAGTGTGCGCTGGTGTGTTCGTTTTTGCGACCTCCGGCTATGTGCTGATGGCTGTCGAAGGTCGGTCCGTGCCCTGTGTGCCCAATCCCGACGCTTAACGATGCTGCAACCACACCGGGTCGCCCCCCCCCCCTCATCAACACAGGCACAAACGTCGTCTTCAAGGGGCCACCATATGTGCCCATCATCGATCGATTCGATTATCAGTACAGCTTCAGCAAGGACGATGTCGCCCTCCTGTCAAAGTGGGGCGTCAACGCCATTCGCCTCGGTGTCATGTGGCCCGGGGTAAGGCAGCTGCGTTGTCGTGCTGGCTTGGATGCGCGTCACTGCTCTCGCTTGTGCCGGGCTTGTCGGTCACGGCTAAATACGTCAACGCTGCTTCACGCGAGAGCCACTGACTCAACAGCAACACCTGCGTTGACTGCCCTCCAACAAACCTCAGGTTGAGCCAGAGAAGGGCAAATACAACCAAACGTACCTGCAGCACTTGCAGGTGTGCATGTGTGTGGGTGTGTGGGTGTGTGTTTGCTTACTCCAGTACGCCTCGTGGCTTTCGTGCCGGCTTGTGAGCTGCCGGCAGCTCTATCCTTTCTTCCACTGCCCTCTTTGGTGCCGTCTTCAGCGATTCTTCACACTTGCCCGCCATTTCCTCCACAGAACATCACGGCCATGTGCGAGGAACAAGGCATCTGGGTGCTGCTGGACATGCACCAAGACGTGTGGAGCGAGCGGTTCTGCGGGGAGGGCGTTCCATACTGGGCGGCAGACCCCGGCCCAGACGCAAAAGGGTTCCCTGCTCCCCTCGACAAGCCATACAACGTCAACGTACGTGTGTGTGTGTGTGTTTGTCTGTGTGTGTGTGTGTTTGTTGTTGTGTGTGTGTGTGTGTGTGTGTGTGTGTGTGTGTGTGTGTGTGTGTGTGTGGGTGTGGGTGTGTGTGGGTGTGGGTGTGGGTGTGGGTGTGTGTGTGGCTGTGGCTGTGGCTGTGGGTGTGTGTGGCTGTGGCTGTGGCTGTGGGTGTGTGTGTGTGTGTGTTGTGTCGTGTGCGGAGTTAAGTGAGGATGCATCGGGTGCGAGGGCACACCAGTTTCTGTCGGCCCTGTCTGCCTAACTACCATTAAAGAGAAGGTGTTGCGGGTTGTACAACCTGCGATGGCGTTCACACTGCTGGCGTTGTTTCGTCGACACAGAGCACCACGGGCCTTCCCTCAGCCCAGGACTGCGGCAAGCATGACTGGCCAGACTACTACTTTGCCTCTGGTATGTTCGACGCCTGTTGTGTGGTTGTGAGCACCGCGAGCGCTCGCTCTTGCACTCAATCACACATGCATTGGCCCACCCAAACTCGTCACACTCACACACACACACACACACACACACACACTCACACTCACTCACGCACACACACACACACACACGAACTCGCTCGCACACACATCTCCCTTCTCGCCGCGTGGCAGCGGTGGGCGCGGCTGTGCAGCGCATGTACGACAACCAAGATGGCCTTCTCGATGCGTTCTGCAGCTTCTGGGCACTCGTCGCGTCAACCTTCAAGTCCTACACCAACATCCTCGGATACGAGCTCATCAATGAGCCCTGGGCAGGTCAGCGTTGTGGTCGTGGCCGCGCCCGCGTGTGTGTGTGTGTGTGTGTGTGTGTCTGGCTGCCTGTCTGTCTGTCCGTCCGTCCGTCCGTCTGTTTGTCTGTCTGTGTCGCCGTGTCGCCTTTGCGTGAAAGCCTTGCACTTTCAGTCCACCCCTCTGTAACACGACACTTCATCCCTCCTCGCACTATTTGCCATCACGGCGCGCAGGCGATGTGAACAAGGACCCTGACCTGCTTGTCCCCGGTCAGGCCGACAAGAAGAACCTGCAGAACACATACGATAAAGCTGCCGCTGCCATCAGGTGCCATGCTTGATGCATGCGTGTGCTCTTTCTTTGGTTGATTGCGCATGCGCCTGTAGGCTGTATGTCTTGTGCATGCTGTCGTGACGTTCCACCGCTTGTTCTCTCTCCTCATCGACTGCGCGCGCGCGTGTGGTGCTGTGTGGGATGATTGCGTCAGGGCCGTTGATCCCGATACACCCATCTTCTTCGAAACGGTGAGTTGGAGCCAAGTTGTGTCTTCAACCGCACGCAGACACAAGGGCAAACGCACACACGCACACACACACACTCACTCACTCACACACACACACACACACACTCTCTCTCTCTCTCTCACCATCAAACTTACCCTCTTCATTCATGTGTGCGCATGCATTACCAGGTGACGTGGGACGATGTCGTTGTTGGGTTTTCGCACCCGCCCGGCGGCGCTGACAGCGGCCACAAGAGCGTCCTCGCATACCACGTCAGTCTGCGTGCTGTGGATGGCGCGACATGAGCAGGAGGGGAGAAATTGGAGGAGGAGGGGGTTGTGTGGTTGTGTGGTTGTGTGTGTATCTGTATCTGTGTTTTTTTTGTCTGTGTGCGTGTGTGTGGTTGTGTGTGTGTATCTGTATCTGTGTTTTGTTTTTTTGTTTTTGTCTGTGTGCGTGTGTGTTTGTGTGTATGTGTGTTTCGATCCCCTTCACCGCCTTCACCATCAGCGCCCCTCCCTCTCCTGTCGGCGCCTGCAGTACTACATGCCGCCAAACTTTGGCCCCAAGGAGACAATCCAGCTCCATCTCGATGCCGCAAAGAAACTCAACTGCGGCACATTCTGCTCGGAGGTCCGCGGTTGTTGTGGTGCAATGGTGCTACAGTGGGTGATACTGTGGTGCATTGCAGCGTGTTGCCTTGTGCTGTGCTTGCATGCTTGTGGCTTGCACATGCGCGCGTGCACGCAAAGCTGCGGCCGTCGCTGGTTCGCTTTGTGCTCACCACAACATTACACCTTGTCCCCTTTTCTTACATGGTTCGCTGTTACTGTCACCACCACCATCACCATCATCATCATTGTCATCGTCAGACGGACGGCGAGGTGTTCTTCGAGACGGCAGATCCGTTCTTCCAGTCGTGGATGCGATGGGAATACAAAGTGAGCACAGTGATTGCGTGTTGTGTGTCTGTGTGTGTGTCTGTGTCTGTGCGTGTGTGTGTGTTTGTGTGACACTGATGCTCTGCCGTTGTTATGTCACACTACACATGCATACACTGTGCTCTCGATCGTATGCACACTCACACAAGGCTTCCTCCTCCTCCTCCTCCTCCTCCTCCTCCTCCTTCTCCGCGCCGTCCACACTCCCCTTCACCCTATGTTGTGACAGGCGTTTGTGCCAAAGACGGGTTCCAACTTCGGGTTCTGGAACAGCAACGGCACCGTGAACAGCGACATGGTGTTCAACCTGACGCGCACATATGCGCCCATTATCGCCGGCCACGGTGTTGACATGCACTTTTCCCGCGAGAACAGCACCTTCGAGCTTGCGTTCCTCCTCAACAAGGTGCCGAGGGGAAGGAGGAGATACAGAGACGTGGAAGAAGGGGGAACAGGGTGGCTGAATAGGGTGGTTGAATAAGGTTCATGTATGTACAAATGCACGCAAACTCATGCACACACACGCACTCTCACTCTCACACTCTCACACTCACTCACTCATGCACGCACACTCACACACACACACACATATGAACACTCACTCACTCACTCACTCACTCACTCACTCTCACACTCACTCACTCACTCACTCACTCACTCACTCACACGCACGCCGCAGACGTGCACTGCTCCGACCGTGGTGTATGCGTACACGGCACTGCACTACCCAAACGGCGTCAACATCACCGTTGACCCGCCCGTGCTGTCGTGGGCGGAGACGACGACCAACTACTACGAGTTCAAGCCCATCTTGAGGGTGGCCAAGGACGGCCAGCGCGTCACCGTCACCTTCAAGAACGGAGAGAGCCATGCCAACGCCGTACACAGCGACGGGCTTGGTGGTTGACTGGGGTGAATGGGTGGTGATGGGCGAGTGCCCTTGTTTTATTTGTCGCTTCTCGTTCACGCGCGCGCGCGTTGTTGCTGGCTCTTTGGTAGCCTGCCTCCTCTGCTCCTCTCTCCTCTTCCTTAGTGATTACCTCTCTCAGCTGCATGTTGTTATTGTTATGTTACCTGCTCTCCTTCCCCCTTGCTTGATTCTTCCACGACCACAAGAAGAAGAACAAGTGAAGCAAGCAACAAGCAACAAGCAAGACTGGCACGAATACAAACAACGAAGCAGCACGGCGAAGCAACAGCCAAGATGGACTTGTTTCGCAGGTTCAAGAAGGATCGCAAGTTCAAGAGGGCTGGCGAAGGTGTGTCTGTGTGTGTCTGTGTCTGTGTCTGTGTGTGTGTCTGTGTGTCTGTGTGTGTGTGTGTCTGTGTGTCTGTGTCTGTGTGTGTGTCTGTGTGTCTGTGTGTCTGTGTCTGTGTGTGTGTGTGTGATGGTGAGGGAGGAAGGCCATCAAGCACGCACGCAGGAACGCACGCTCGCTCGACTTTGCCAAGTGTGGCGGTGTTGCTTATTGCTTGTTGGCGTGCTGTCGTGTATCCTCTGTCTGCCCTTCTGCTTGAAGGCCATCGCCTGGGCGTGGAAGGGGCGTCTCAAGGGCAGCCAGCGTCCGCATCCTCGTCTTCATCCTCAGCGTCAACGGCGAGGAATGCATCGGCGTCAGGCAGACAGCAGCCTCGCGGTGTGTGTGTCTGTGTGTGTCTGTGTGTGTGTGTGTCTGTGTGTCTGTGTGTGTCTGTGTGTGTCTGTGTGTGTCTGTGTGTGTCTGTGTCTGTGTGTGTCTGTGTCTGTGTCTGTCTGTGTGTCTGTGTGTGTATGTGTGTGTCTGTGTCTGTGTGTCTGTGTGTGTCCGTGTCTGTGTTCTCCCCCACCTCCCCCCTCCCCTCATACCATCCCCCTCCTCTCTCCTTGCATCCCTCTCGCCATCTCTGTCCATTCACCACACACCTGCCTGCTGACTGCCGTGAACCAACTGTGTCTGCGCCTTGCAGAGATGAGCCAGGCGGCGCGGGCTGCGCAGGAGCGGATGCAGCGCGCCCAGCAGACGGGGAGGCCTAACACATCCAGCGCCATCAAGAGCGAGGCCCGTCGCCAGGTGCAGGCAGAGGCCGCCAGCAGCGGCACTCAACCGTCGACGGCCACGCCTTCACGCGACCAGCCTGCGGGCCAATGGAAGCAGGAAGCAGACCGCCTTCAGGTCAGGCAACGCTTGTGTGCATGTGTGTGTGCATCCGTGTGTATCTCTGTGTGCATCCGTGTGTATCTCTGTGTGCATCCGTGTGTATCTCTGTGTGCATCCGTGTGTATCTCTGTGTGCATCCGTGTGTATCTCTGTTTTCGACCACGCCTTACACTGTTTGCACCTCTCTCCCTCCCTCCCTCACGTGTGTCGCCCTTGGCTGCCGCCCACCCAGGTGCAAGTGGTGTGTCCCATCACAGGCAACCTCGTTCGCGAACGCGACAAGACAGACCATCTCCGACGAGAGCTAACACAGGTCTGCTGCGTATGCGAGAAAGGGCAAAAGCATGCCGGGCGAGCGAACGAGCGCCGTTGTTGCTGAACTCGCCCTTGCTCACCCTCGCCCTCACTCACTCACACTCCACTCACTCACTCACACTCCACTCACTCACTCACACCTTGTGCATCTCGCCAGCGCCTGACGGAGATGCCGGTGCCGATGGCGGCGAAGATGGTGTGGACACTCAACTCCCGGGAGAAGCGAGAACTCGCCGTCAAGACGATATGCGCGTATGTTCCCGCGTGAGCACATGCATGTGTGAGTGTGAAGGTGTACGTGTGCGTGTGCAGATGCATGTGGCTGCCGATATCATCACGCGTTTGTGCGATGACAAGACTTCTCTCACATGCGCCTGTCTATGTGTGTGTGTGTGCATTGCTGCTGCAGGTACATCAACAATGTGCTGCAGCACCCGGACGAGCCCAAGTACCGGCGCATCAACAAGGAGAACAAGGCCTTTCAGGTGCGCTGGCGGTCGTGGCGCCCCATCTTGTTGCTTGGCCAGATGACACGCTTGTTCCCATGTTCTCTTTTTGTACCATGTGTGTGTGTGTGTGTGTGTGTGTGGTTTTGGTCACCTTGCTTGCAGGCACGCATCCTGGGGGCTGAGGGGGCGCTGGAGTTTCTCAAGGCCGTTGGCTTTGAGGAAGAGAACGGCGAAGGTGCGACAAGATGTTGGCAACGGCAATGATGGTGGATAATGCTCAGAGAATGGACCGAACGGACATGCTTGTTGCTTGTTGGTTCCCGCAAGACCTCGCATGGTCGTACAACTCATGTCACAACGCGCCACTCCTTGACACATGCACGCGCTGTCGGGTTTGCTGTGTGCAGAGGATGGCAAGACGTTCCTTGCGCTGCCAGAAGGAGTGTCCACGGACGAACTGACGACAGCAAAAGATGTCATCTCCAGCGACCAAACCATCATCTGCCGCCTCCACCGCGACGTCAGGTGTGTGTGGGGGGGGGTCTGTGTGTGTGTCTGTGTGTGTGTGTGTGTGTCTGTCTGTGTGTCTGTGTGTGTGTGTGTGTGTGTCGTGATGCCTCTCCTGACCACTGCCTCCCCCCCCCCCATCTCATCTCATCACCACCACCACCACCACTACCACGGGATCAGGGTGCTGAAGCCGCCGCGTGGTGCGGCCATCGCCGCCGCCATGCGTGTGGATCTCCCGTCCGATTTCTACAAACTCACCGTCGACGACCTCAGGTTCACAACGAAGAGTAGAGAAGAGAGGAGAGGGTGGGGCCGTGTGTTGGTTCACACGTTGTTCGTGTTCTTCGCATTGTTGTATGTGCTGCGGGGAGGGTAGCTCATTGTGCTGGTGCTATGTTGCTGCATGTGCATGTGGTCTTCCCTCTGGCCTCCACCACCACGTGCAAACTGACCCTCGACATCACATCCCGACCGCCACAGGTCTCGGCATCGATTCTCACTTTAAAGGTGTCATTTGACGACAATGATGACGGCAAAGATGATGCGATGATGAACAATGACAAATGACAAACAGAAACACAAAGGGAAGAAGAAGCAAGACGATTTCTGCAGCTACTTTGTGGGCTGTGAACGTGTGTGTGTGTGTGTGTGTGTGTGTGTGTGTGTGTGTGTGTGTGTGTGTGTGTGTGTGTGTGTGTGTGTGTGTGTGTGTGTGTGTGTGTGTGTGTGTGCGTGTGTGTGTGTGTGTGTGTGAGCTAGGTGATGCAACTGAGGCCAACACGAAGCAGTTCCACGGTCCTCCCCACATCATCCCCTCGCCAACAACTGGCCATGTCCATGCCAGCGTGTGCTCACCGTGTGTCGCAGGAGTTTGACGGGAAAGTTTTCTGAAATGACGTCTCCGCTCACAAACACAACGACCAGATTCACCTCAAACTCTGCAGTTGGTCCATGGGCGGCGGCGGTGGTGGTGGTGATGACGGTAGTGGTGAGCAACTCGAGACCAGAAAACAAGCACACAACAAGCGCGAATAGGTTGTACAACACAACACAAGTACAACACAACACAAGTGCAACACAACACAACACAGCACAGCGCACCAATCTTGAAGTTTGGGGTGAGGAGGGATGGGCAGGTGAAGAGGCGCGGGAATGTCATGTAGAGCGGAACGGCGAAATCGCGGGCAACGTCGCCCTCCGCAACTTGGATGTTCTGGATCTCCGTCGCTGCACAGCGAGAGGTCATGTGCACATGGCGCAAGGTGGACGCGTGTTTGGGGGGGGCCAGTGTAGCGTGAGGACAACAGCCAGTTACCACATCAAGACAACAGGAGTAGCAGTTGCTCCGAGCTGCCAGCGCCGCAACAAAACCCCATCATCACCGTGCTTATTGATAACACCGCCACCACCATTGCTAGCACCTTCAATTTCCACCATGCTTCTCAACACCACCACCACTGCCAGCACAAGCACGTCAACTGCCACGACTCACGGTCGCTGGCGTATCCCTCTGCACATCCGCACGTCTCCACGCGCACGAGTTGCAGTTCGATGGATTTGATGGGCAGCTCCGACCGCCGCACGACAATCTGAATTATGCAATGCATTGACACGTGTGTGCACGCAGGCAAGCAATATATGCGCGTGTGTGATTGAGTGGGCAGAGGAGCGAGCGGGGTGGACTGCAAGCAGCGACTTCACCGCTACCACGTTGACTCAAGATTAATCATCACATGCACTGCACGATTCGAAACAACTCTTCCGTGTTGAACCTCCCCTTGCTTCTCAAACTCTCCCTCTCCCCCCCCCCCCGGCCGGATGCTGCTAAGTGAAACACGCACGCCACGCACCTCGCCCGTGAACGGCTGCGCAATGTCGCAGGTTGGGTGGTCGATGTGTCCGTCAATGAGGAACTTCGGAATATCGGCCCGCGTCTTTGCATTGTCCAGCGACTCTGGTGTAATGCTGAACTTCACCTGCGCATGGCAGTTGTTGATGACATGAGTACAGAACATGTATCCAAGGACACGTGCGTGCTCACACATGTACATTTGCGTGCATGCAAGTGCGCAAGCACATGCACATGGATGCGCACGTGCGCACATATGGATGGGTCGCGTACGCATCCAAACAAACGTACACGCCCCTACGAGTTCATGCAGACATACACTCGGGTACGCACGGGGTCTGAGTCTGTGCGTGGTGCCAACGCCTCCACAAAGAATTCCGCCTTTGTCTGCAGGTCCTTTGAGAACGCAGACCGCTTCAGCTCCGCCCGCAGAACATACTGCACACACACACACATGAATGAATGAATGAATGAATGAAGGCATGAAGGCATGAATGAATGAATGAATGAATGAATGAATGAATGAATGAATGAATGAATGAATGAATGAATGAATGAACCACCAAGGTGGACGAGGTGCGGAAACGACACGTGTGCATGTGTGTGTGTGTGCGTGTGTGATCTGTACGGTCGCCGCCACGATCCGTCCACAGACATCATTGCCTCATCCACAACAACCACCACCCAAAGCACGACACCCCATCCATCAGCCACCTGCAGTTCACGTCACCTGGATGCTGATGAAGACGCCGTGGTATGTTTCATACAGCTTCTGCCCCGGCTTTGCCTTGAGCGGAATCTCAAACGGTATCGACGTTACGCCTGCATTATAGGACCGAGAAGAAGGAAAAGTAGGGAGGGAAGCGGGGTGGTGAGATGTGTTGACAGGCGTGTGAGGCACAAAACACAGCACACGATAACCGTGAACAAGAAGAGCAAGCGTGCATGTGGTGAGTTGATTGGTTGGCTGCACGAGCGGAAGGGCGTGTTCTGACCTGCATTCAGTTTGCCAGCTTTGCGCAGATCCAGCGACGCGCTGATGAGCTTCGGAGGGGATGGGGATGGATGTAGAGTGTGTTGTTTTTACAGGAGTGCGGCAAATCCACAGCAACAAAAACATGTGAGCTGATTTGATCAGACCGGGGGGGGGGGCTTGGCGAAGCAGCATACACACAGGCACGGAGTATGTTTGTTCAAACACACACACACACATATTCGCAAGGTGGGTGGGTTGTGTGCTCACCTGAACCGGTTTGATCGAGTTGTAAAAAGCTTCAAACAACCCAACGTTCTTCGCACTCAGTTGCAAACTGGTGCAGGAAGAACAGGACACGGACAAGTGTGTGGATAAGAAAGACAGCAAGGGCATACGTGCCATGTGGGGAAGGATAAGTCACGCACGAACACGAATGCAATGCAACTGCACACACGCACGCACACATGAACACACACACAAGTACATGAACGCACACAAGTACATGAACGCAACGCCTCTCTCTGTTGACGAACCTCACTGATCCCTCCAAGTACAAGCTGATGCCATTGTAACTGAGCCCTTTGCTGTCAATGTTCAATGTACCTCGCAACAGCTCCTGCCAAACACACACACACACACACACACACACACCACCAACATGAGTGCACAGCATCAAGCAAGTAAGCAAGCGAGGGAACAGCCTGAACAACAAACCAAACAGCAGACATTCAAGACGCGACCACGCGCGCGCACACACACACAAGCACACACACAAGCACACATGCCATGACACACGCCACTTGCACTTACGCCTTCGCGGTACTTCTTGGAGCTCCGCGAGAACGATATGGACATGGACATGGCGGTTGGTTGGTTGGTGGCTGGTGTATGTGTGGGTGTGCTGCTGGCTATCGTGTTTGTTTGTGTCGCTCCACAGCGGCAGTGCGGTTGTAGAATTCTGATGAATGATTTGAGCTATTTTTCGTCGATTCAAGGCACAGCAGAAGCAGAAGAGGAGAGAAGCAGAGATGGCGAATGTGTTGCGGGCGCGGGGTGTGGAGAGGATACGCAGAGATGGGACGGCGTTCTTGGCGGGGATTTCGCTGACAGGGGATGAGGATGAGCCTGTTCTCGGGGCAAGCGACTCCGAGTACGACCATGAGGATGCAGAGACCGCGCTTGTGCGCAGACAGCAGCCGCAGCGGCCGAAATCAGGACATGCCAGCACCCGCCATTCTTTCATGGGCATGGCAGCCACCGACCTGCTTGCATCTGACGGCACCGATCTCACGTCACAGCACCAGCAGTCGCAGCGCCGGCGCAGGCGCTTGACAAGTGGAGACATGGAACGGCTGCGTGATGCTTTCGCAACGTCGTCCACGTCGCAGGCACGCAGCAGCACGCGGCCATCAAAGGCCATGCCGAAGGTCACGTTTGTGTCGGACGTGAAGACCAACGCAGAGCTGCTGGTGAACACCCGCGTGCTCGTCACAAGCCCGCGCGGCGGTATGCCACTCGCCGCTTTTAGCCTACTTCCCGCACGTGACACACGTCACAAGAAGCGCCGACGCCTCGAAAAAGCCAAGCAGGGTGAGCATTTACGTGTATGTGTTGTTGGTGTTGGCGTGTGTGTGTGTGTTGTGTATGTGTTGTGTGTGTGTGTATGTGTTGTGCGTGCGAGTTTTCGTGTGTGTGTGTGTGTGCGTGCGAGTTTTTGTGTGTGTGTGTGTGTGTGTGTGTGTGTGTGTGTGTGTGTGTGTGTGTGTGTGTGTGTGTGTGCGCGCGTGTGTGTGTACGTGCGTGTGTGTGGTGGTGATTGAGAGTTTGAAGAGATGTTGTTCGTGCAAAGCTGTGCCTACGCCCTCACCTTGGTGATTCATACTGACACACACACACACACACGCAAACGTACCTGACGTTTACACACAACACAGCCGACAAGTTCGAGATCAAGCCCGTGCGCAAGACAAAGAGCTACGAGAAGCAGCTGCGGGACATGCCGCAAGTGCACGATCACGCCACGCTCGACGACCCGTTCCTGCACCACGGAAGGCACCAGAAGATGCTGTCCCTCAAGTCATACACGGTGTCCATCAGCCACTATGTGACGCCGGCGGAACTCAAAGAGGCGCTCAACGAGAGCTTCCGTGAACGCTTCCCAGACATTCAACTCACCCTCTCCAAGCTGCGCAGTCTCAAGCGCGACATGGTGGAGATTGGCTGCGACATGGTGCGTTGGTATTCATGTGTGAGGTGGAGGTGGTGTGTGCATTGTAAGTCCTCAGGGTGGGCGTACCACATAGTTGCAACCTTGAAGCTGCGACGTTTGTAAACACAAACACACACATTAACACAATGTCCACCTCTCACCCACACACACACACACACACACCCACACACACACACACCACACACACACACACACACACACACACGAACACACGAACACGCGAACACACAATGTCTATCTCACTCACGCGCACATTCACTCACGCGCACATTCACACACGCTCACCCACTCACACGCTCACCCACTCACTCACTAACATTCACTCCCTCACTCGCTCACACACGAACTCGCTCACCTACTCACTCCCCTCATACACACGCACATACTCACACGCACAAACTCACACACACACGCACGCACACACACACACACACGCACGCGCGCACGCACGCACATGCCATCCCATGTGTTTCTCGTGCAGTGCAAGATGGAGGTGTCGACGGTGGCGTTTGCCCACTACTACTTTGAGCACCTTGTGCTAAAGCGGTGGGTGACCAAGCCCACGCGCAAGCTCATCCCGGCATGCTGCCTACTGCTCGCCTTCAAGTTCAACTGCACCGCCCGCCCGTCCATTGTCAAGCAGCGGCTGCAGCCGTTGTTCAAGGCGTGCGAGGACAAGTGGCGGCTGGCGCGGCACGACATCCTCCTCATGGAGATGCCTGTCTTCTCCCAGCTCTCCTTCGACCTCAACGTTCCCGCTGCTACCGTCACGGCATTTACCGCGCGCATTCACGCCAAGCACCCGCACCTCTGTACCTGACGCCAGCTTGCTGATCCTCGTTGAGGTGGCGTGCTTGTGTATTCATGCCACGCTTGTCCTACCAACGCGGCTGCACATGGCATTGTTCTCCCGCTGTGGCCGCTTCCGTTGTGTTACCCTCGCTGCACGCACATCTGTCTTTGTTCTTGCGTTTGCTCGCTTCGTTCCTCTCATAGACAGATACACGCCATACACACGGCAATCGCCTTCTCTCTGTTCGGGGGTCTTGTAATTGGGAGGGAGAGGGTTGCTTAGCATAACACGTGCAGTCAAGAAAAGGGTGACATCACACCAAAGAGCAGCATCTGCTTAGTAGATGCGCTGGGGAGGGCCCATGGTGCTCTTGATGTTGAGGGAGCGCACGTTCTGCCAGTTCTGTGGGGATGTGATGGCAAGGAGAGCGTGTGATTGGGGGGGGGGATGAGTTGGTGGTGAGGAGGAAGAAGGGTGTGAACAAGAAGGAAAGAGCACTGATTGGCACAGGTGCGCATGTTCTCAAAAGGCAGCACAACAGTATGGACGCAAAAGGAAGCACAACAATACGCACGCAAAAGTAACCACAAGTAGGTAAACACACTCACACACTCACACACACACACCACACACACACACAACCCCACCACCACTTGCCAGCACAACAAACCTTCTTGAGGAGGGAGACGAGGAAGTTGACGGCCTGGATGGAGTTGGTGATGAGCTCCTCCTCGGACATGTCGACGTGACCAATGGCGACACCGAGCGTGAGCACCTTCTTCATCTGGAACTTGACGGTAGCCTTGAGCTCGTCAACCTTCTCGGGCAGCTTCTCCTCGTGCGAGACGGGGGAGGGGAACTTGCCGGCCTTGTTGAGGCCAGGCCCAAGGATACGAGGCAGCTGCTTCAGAAGCTTCGACGACGCAAGGAACGCATCGTACTGCTTGGCTGTGGTTTTGGGGATGGGGTGGGGGGTAAGGAGTGTGTGTGTGTGCGTGTGTGTGTGTGCGTGTGTGTGTGTGTGTTTGGTTGGGGTGAGTGAGGTGAAAGGGGATGCATGCGTCGAGGGGAGACAGGACAAAGGATCGTTCAAGTGTGCAAGGGAATTGAATTGAAGGAGGAGGGAAGGATGGACATAGACAAAACTTCAAAGGTTTGAAGGATGGAGAGTATAGTCAGACTTATTAAGCAGCGCCAACGGACGAATGAACGCCGCATACTCAACGTATGACAACGTAACTCTCCCATGCACAAAGAAATGGCATCTCGACATGGGATATGTCGGGCCAAGACGGAAGGCTGGTTGTGGTGTTTGAGGAGGCGGGAAGATGGGGGAGGAGAGTGGGGGAGAGGGGGAAGGAGGGAAAGAAACAAAGCAAAGTGTACAAAACATTCGCTCACACACAAACACAGACAAACGCACACACACACACACACAGAGTTACAAACACACTCGCTCACACAACCACACACAACCACACACACACTCACTCACACACTCACTCACACAACCACACACACACTCGTACCCAGCTTCTTGACGAGCTTCTTGTTCTTCTTGAGCTTCTTGAGGGAGTCGACGTCCATGCAGGGAATGTCGGCGGCCTTGGCCTCGTCGCAGTGAGCATCGTCACCGAGCACGCACACCTTCATGCCAGGGCGGGCAATGCCGGGCAGACGCACGGTGCCGCTGAAGCGCTTGTCACGGGAGGGATCGTAGTTCTTCAGCATAACCTGAAGCTCAACCGTCTCGCGGAACTTGCGCTGTGGTGGCAGTGAGACAAAAAGCGATGTGAGAAGAGGGGAAGTTGAGAGAATGAGTTCAGGACGAAGCAAGCAAAGACGAAAGAAAGACAAGGGCTCGTGGAGTGGCGAGTGTACAAGCACAACACACACACGCACGCACACATGCACACGCACACGCGCACACACACAACAACAAACCTTCTTGTCCTTGAGGGAGTGCTTGAGGAGGGCCTGGATCGCCTCTTCGTAGGTGTCGCGGGAAACCTTGCTGTCAAGTGGAATGAAGACAAGCACGCAAACACACACACACACAGAGCAGGAGAACAAGTGAGCCGACACAAGTGCATGCGCGAAACACATTGGGGAGGAAGAACAAGAAGTCATTCGACAACAACAACCGGGGAAACAAAAGACGGTGGTGTTGGTGAAGCCACCACACACATAAAACACTTGCAACAACAAAGCAGAAGGCAACTTGTCTTCTCATCATGATGTCGCACTTTGAGCCAAGGACAGTGCACAACCAATTCAGAGAGAGACAAGGTACCAACTTCTCGTCATCACGCAAGAAATAAATAAAGGTGGGAGGCACCAGAAGAACAGGGGGCAGAAGAACAGGGAGCAGGAGAACAAGGGGGGGGGGGGCTTGGAGAACAAAGAGAGGCCATCAACCACAACCAAAAAAGAGACAAGCGCAGGAAGCGCGAGCAACAGAGATTCGAAGACAGCGCACAACAACCCGCGGGCATTCACAACCATAAAGAGTGTGAAGAGGCCCTCCCTTCTCCAATAGTGCACACTTGCCACAACAGCAACAGAGACAGCAGCAGCAACAACAACACCACCAGCAACACCACAAGCAACAACAGCAACAGCAACAGCAGACAACAAGGGCACAATGTGCCTGATGTCTAAAGTTGTGTTGGGTTGTGTTGTGTTGTGTTGTGCGTGTGTGTGCGTGTGTGCGTTTGCGTGCCTCTGCAGTGCTGGGTTCACATCACATCATCATCAACAACAACAACATCAGCGACAACAGCAACAAGAACAACACGCGCGAACCTCATGGTGGCGGTGCTGGTGTTGCTGCGTGTGGTGTGGTGTTGTCACAATGAGGGGACGAGGTGGCAGAGCAGTGTGCTGGCGGTGTGGGTCTCGCGTGCGCGATGGGTGGGGGAAAAAAAAAAGGTACATAAGTTGTGGAAAGTTATTGTAAGATTTCACAGGGGAGAACCGCGGGATTTGAATCCGTGTGTGTGTGTGTGTGTGTGTGTGTGTGTGTGTGTGTGTGTGTGTGTGTGTGCGCGCGCGCGCGTGTGTGTGTGTGTTGTGGAGTGCCATAACAGCATAACAGCGTCACATCACTCACACCCTTGTGGCAAATGCTCTAAATGCTGGTCATCACACACGCCCAAGCAACCAAAGGCGATGTACACAGGAATGAGGTCTCGAGGTCTCCTGTCACGTGTTTGTGTCTGTCATCTACTCTACAGTTGAGCTGTAGGGTCTAAGGGATGGGAGCCTTGACAGCACCCCGCCTCATCGTCCGTAAAAGAAACACTTGCAAATGACGGTTAGACCACCGTGTAAGCTGTTCACCGCACGGAAGGCGATGGCAAATGCTGGGCAGCTGTGTGGCTGTTGAGGCGGATGTGTGTGTGTGTGAGTGCGTATATGTGAATGAGTACCTGAGTGTGAGCGTGTGCGTGCGTGTGTGTGTGCTCCCCTGTTGCCGCTTCCCTCACCGCTGTTGGCATTCTCAACTCAAATCAAAACGCGCGAGCCTCGACAACACAAGCGGCCAACTCCTCTCTCGTCCTCTGTCGTGCTCTTTCCCAAGCAGGTTGCCGTCGCGTTCACTCACAACAAAAACAAGAGGAAGAAAAGGAGATCCAGCAACCAGCGCAAGGGAGCATCCAGGCGAACAACAACAGGGTAACACGCAGACACTCGCTGGGAGGAGAGAAGGAGAGGCCAAGGACATGGAGCCAACGCAATCGCATAGCAAGTGTGATGACACAGGTGGTTCATGCTCACGAAAAATCCCGCCATGTGGAAGGTAACGAGTGGATGGGGGAACAGGAAAGGGCAGAAAGGGTGTACAGCCTTCCCAACCACACACACACACACACACACACACACACACACACACACACACACACACACACACACACACACAAACACACATCGACAACACACACACACCCTCCCCACACATCAGCACCCTGGGTCGATGACGAGGACAGATTCGGCGTTGAATGGAATACCATAGACGAGGCCGTTCGGAGCGAGCACTCCGTCCCACCACTTGGTGCCTCCTTCTTCAAGATCGTTGATGGTCGTGGTGTCGCTGATGCTGGTGGTGGTGGTGTCGAAGATGAGAACAGATGACGAGTCGTATGGGATGCCGATGATGTTGGCGTTGGGTGCAAGCACAGCGCCAAGCCACTGTCCAAAGCTGGTTCGCTCCGTGACTGGGTGCTGGCGGCTGGCGTTGGTGGCTGGGTCAATGATAAGGGCCATCGCAGAGCGAGACGGGACGGCGTAGATGAGACCGTTGCCTGCAAGCACGCCCCCGCGCCACTTGTAGCCCGTGTCAAAACCAGCCAATGTGGTGAGGTCCATCGTGAGCAACTCTGGATTGATGACGAGGACAGAGGACGCCGTCACGGGAATGCAGTATATGAGGTCGGTGTCTGCCTGTACACCGCCATACCACTTGAATTCATGGTTCGACAGCCCAGAGAGCGTGGTGAGGTCGGCGACATTGGTCTCCGGGTCAACAATTAGCACAGACGTTGCAAAAGAGGGGATGCCGAAGATGAGGCCATTGCTGGCCACAACACCGCTCCGCCATTTGGCGACGCCGGAGCCCAGCGAGTGGATACTCGATGTGTCAGTGGTGTTGGTGTCCGGGTCGACGATGAGCATGGTTGCTTGTGTTGACGCAAACATGTAGACGAAGCCGTTGTGCGCCAACACCGCACCCGCCCACTTCGCACCATTCTCAAGGAGCACGGAGATTGTGGTCGTATCAACGGTGTTTGTGCTCGGATTGATAATGAGCACGGAAGGCGAGTTGTATGGCGCAGCGTAGATTAAACCGTTGTTGGCCAGCACGCCGCCAACCCACTTCCCACCTCGTGATCCAAGCTGCCCTAACATATCGGCACGCCTCGCAACCTGGCAGAGTTCAGCGTGCAAGCTCTGCTGTACATTGATAGCGCTCTGCTGCACCGAGACGGCGCTCATCAGCGTGCTGAGCGTCTCATGCACATTCATGCCGTTCACAAACACGGGCTGGTTCATGGTATCGCTGGTGTTGACGTGGAAGGCACCAGCTTCATCCTCAACCATCACCACCTCACCCGAGATGGTGAACGGCATCCAGCACACTGCCGCCAGCAGCTCAAGGACTAGCATCATGAAAGGCAGTAACGCACGTGCCTGCAGGCATCCAGGTCTTCTTCTCGTCACCATACTCCAAGCAAGGGAGGAGACCAAGAAGAGAAGAAGAGCACAAAGTCGGAAGGTCAGCGCGCCGTGTTTGTTTTTGTTTGCAGCGTTGCTGGTCTGCTGGTGGTTGTGGTTGTGGATAATTCTTGGATGTTTTCGCATGAGTTTCGAGCCAAACAAGTGAGTGTCTGAGCAAAGCATGCACGAACCGCAGCAAAGCCCACGGCTTGGTCGTACAAGCAGGAAGCATGTGCACGGACCCGTGTCAAAGAGGCAGACACTGTGACCTAAGGTCATGTGGCACATGCAATTGTTTGCAAATCTGCGCCACTCACTCAGCACCTACTCGAGATATCCTTTCTCCCCCAATCACATCGTTCAACACCCTCTCCTGCTCCTCTCATTCTACTGTTTAAGTGTTTATCTGCTGTTTTAAGTGTTTACGAGGTTGTCACCAACGTAAAACGCAAGAACTCACCACATGCAACCACCACCACCACCACCACAGGGTTTTCTGAACAACAACAGCAACAGCAACTGAAACAACTTAAACAACAACAACAACAACAACAACTTAAACAACAACAACTTAAACAACAACAACTTAAACAACAACAACTTAAGCAACAACAACAACACCACCACCACCACCACCACCACCACCACCACCACCATGCAAAGACTTCAGAAAAGGGGCAGGCAAAGTTGCTGTTGGAGGTGTCTACTTGGAGGAGGTGCCACTGTTGGCACGTGCTGTGCCGAGGTGGCACTTGTTGGCCTGTCAACAACATTGTGGATTGACGATTGAGGAGGGAGGGGAGGGAGGGGGGGAGAGAGGAGAATCGTGAATGCATCACATCAGCCAGACGGCAAATTCGTACCAGCAGCAAAATCGCACACTCGTACCACCAGCTTGCCAAGAGAAGCACACGTTGTCCCTCAGTTTATGTTACCTCTGCAGCGAAGCGAAGGCTGTTCTTTGTCTCGCTGGCGGACGCGGCTGTGGGCGCCACGTTCACAAACATCAGGCTGCATTGCAAAGAAGCCAGTTCCAGAGGACACAGGGTGAGTGAACAATGGCGTGACGGCAATAGCGCGCGCACACACAAGAAGAAGCAAACATCCACAAGCATGCACACACACACACACAGACACACACACACACACACACAACACACACACCCACACCCACACACACACACACACACACACACACACACACACACACACACACACACACACACACACCACTTGCTGTTGTTGCACATGGAGTCCTTGAGGAGCATGGTCAGCTTGGAGTCACGGAAGGGCACATGCCCATCCTAGTGGTGGGTGGAAAGCATTCAGGAGTCAAGATGTATCACACAGGTGAGCGATTGCCAACCGCAACCACAAAATGCATTGCACTCACTCGCCCTCCTCAATCCCCGATTCTCCCATATTTCCCATCTTCCGCCCTTTCCCATCTCGTCCCACCCCTCACTCTCATGGATGCCTTCTGGGAGAGCTTTGTGAAGACGCGCTTGAGGGTGGTCAGGCTCTTGTTGATGTACTTGGCCTCTTTCTCCTCCTTTCCTTGCACCTTGGAGACCTTGATGCGCTCGGAGCCAGCCAGGTCAATGAGGTTGAGCGTGGCGTTGCACACCTCGCCCGCGGCCTTGTTCTCACCCGCAATCTGCAGGCGGAAGACGGAGTGGCTGCGGGACGAGCGTGCGTTCATCGCCGTCTTGGCCGTCCTCCTGTTGGTCTCTGCACGCTGAAGCAGCTCGTGCACCTGAAAGAGAGTGGAGGGGAGGGAGTAGGAGAGGGGCAAAGACAACGGCGCTTGCTTGTGAGTTGGTGTGCGTCAAGGAGCAGTGAGACGACGTACCACGGGCACTAACAGAGACGTACCACGGGCACTAACAGAGACGTACCACGGGCACTAACAGAGACGTACCACGGACACTGACAGAGACGTACCACGGACACTGGCACAAGACGCAGAACGCTCCTACACACAGACATACAGACACACACGCACGTACACGCACACAACATCAAACAAACGCATGCACAGGCACACAATCAATCAAACAACGCACACACACACACACACACACACACGCCCCCCCCCCCCCCCCCCACACACCAATTTCCAACACTACACCCCAAACTCCAGCCGCTCACGTCATCTGGAACGGTGACGGCAAACTCAGAAAGGTTTGAGACGGGCGCTGTCCAGGAAATGACTGGCTTGGTGGCGGATCCCCGCGTGGCAAGCAGGTCACGTGGCTCCTCGTTGTAAATCTCCCGCATGGAGGCCTTGAACGTGTACTCCCACCCCTTGGCAGCAAGCTCCGCTTGGCGCTGGAAAAGCTGCAGACACAGTCGTCCGTGTGAATGTGTGCGTGCGAATGAGTGTGTGCGTGCGAGTGAGTGTGTGCGTGCTAGTGTGTGTGAGATGTGAGGAAAACCGAGTGGAGCAGATTGATGCGTCGCGGTAGAATGGAAGCAAATGTGCACATGAGAACATACGTATCCGCACACACACACATAACTGCAATGTGATGCACCTGTTCAACAGCGCGTGGGATCATGCCACGTGATCCCTCGTCATCGCTGCCAAGCATGGTGTATGTCTTGCCGCTTCCAGTCTGCGATCAAGTGAGTGTGTGACCATATGCCCGTCAGTCACGAGAACAACAGCAACAGCACACACTCACTCACTCCCCCCAATGCACACACACACAGACAGACAGACAGACAGACACACACACACACACACAACCCCCCTCCACACACACCCCACACACACACACACACTCCACACCCATGAGAAACAAACCTGGCCGTAAGCAAACACGCAGACGTTGTAGCCGTCCATGGAGGACTGCACAAGCTGCTCAATCTCCTCAAACACTTGCGCTTGTGTGCTGTCGCGGTCAAACACCTGCCAGGAACAAAGGACCATTGCGGAAGGATGAACAGTGAGCTTGATTGATGAAAATACGTTGGCACTGCATGCACAGCTGGCAAGGGTATTGGTCTGTTCCACGGCGTTGTGGATGATCGCGCCCTTGTACACGTGCATGTGGCGCTGATGCCCACCTTGTCGAAAGCAAACGTCGCCGTCGGCCCTGTGGCGCCAGTCACGGACACCTCCTGCAAGGCAAAAAGCAAACACACGGGAATGTGGTGTGAGCCCCGCACTCACGTCACGTCATGTCTCGTCATTCTGCATGTGCGGCACGCTTGTCCACAACTTGACGTCAATCGCACAGAGGGCAAAGGCGCGCATGTCATGACACAGCAGCCTGGCATCATCAGCATCAGCATCGCACCTTGCCGTCGAGGCAAGCGACTGGCTGTTCATCCGCTGATGCGTCCTCGCCAGAGAGAAAGGGGCGCACGCGACAAAACACGCGCACGTTGCCCTTGAGCTCTTGCACCATGTTGTGCAGGCGGCGCCTGTAAAACAAGTTGATGTGCCATGAGCCCACACACAGAACGAAAGGCATGACGAATCGATGCGAAGAGCTACAAGGAAACAGAAACAGCTACTGCTGCGCACCCACATACGACATGTTGCCACCATGGTTGCTCGCCACAGTGTCCCAAGTCACGCGTGCTTGCATTCATGTGCTGTTACCGCTCTGCTTCGTCGACAATTGCCTGCTGCTCGTGCTCCTTGACACACGCCTCCAGTGCAGCCACTTTGTCGTGCAGATCCTTGATCTCAGACGTCTGCTGCTCAATCGTCGATGTCGCCTGATGGTGCCAAGTGTGTGT